ACTCTACATGTCATACGCTGTTACCAAATCTACGACAAACTTGTCAGATGCGGGCCACCTGGTGAACACACGCACAACATCGGTTCGATTCAATCAATGTGGGGTTTCGAAATTGACGGGACAGTGTAAGACGCTTCAGATATGGTTATAAATTGCTTTTCCTCGAGAAAGAGGTGTGGATGGATGCGCCGATGGATGGGCGGCTCGTGGATTCATTGAGATGCATCATACGACGCCCGCTACATCGCCCGCCATGGCCGCAAACACTCACAAAGTTCATATACTACATATCTCTCTCTCTCTCGCAATCTCTCTTCGAATCTGCGTTGACACCGTACCGGACCCGACTGAACTGAACTGGACTCCATCAAAAGTCTTCGTCCCTAAAGGTTGCTTGCGCGATAGCAGCAGCTTTTGTGGGAATTTTGATCTCCGCTTTAGGGCATTGTAAGGCTCTCTCTCTCTCTCTCTCTCTCTGTATTGGACATGAATGTCGACTTGTTCTTCTTTCATCTTCTAGGCGTACTTGACCTATGTTCGTTTCGCCGATTAGTGGTTAGTAACCTTTCCGTTGATGAAGAGATGTGCTTAATCTTCTCGTCGTTAAATATCTCGAACTCTTCCATGCCGCACGCCTTCTCTCAGACACGGAAGAGAGGTCTCGGTCTTTGTCTTCCCTAGCTAGCTAGATAGGCTACTTGGAACATTCTCTTTGGAAAAATACACTCACGTCCTTCGATTCCAAATTTTGTGAACATTGCACGTCCACAGAGTAATGGAAGAACTCCCATGCCTCCCATTGTCAGCTTGCTTTCAAGAAGTCCTCTTGCACTAGACGACTTCTTGATCAAGGGCGAGAGCAACTCTTTCACATGGTACAGTATGTGACTCCAAGGCATGTCAGACCACTCTCGGGAGTTCGTCACTTGGCTTCACGTTTCAAAGACCCGGTGCTCAGTGGCAGAGGATGCTAACGTGACGTGAAGCAACAGAGAATCGATCTAGACATTACAATAAGTGTCCGCCTTACAAACCAACCGTGCAAGTACATAGTGAACTCGTACGTGCATGCAAAGTTTGAGACTTCGTTGTTGACATAGCCAGCAGCTTGGTCTCTTTGTGTGATGGTTGCTACTACGGTGCACGTCATTTCGGGGGCAATGCAATGACGATAAGAGTACAGTACTGTACTCTTAATTCTATTTTGAAACTCTTGTGTCTGAGAATCATTGTGTGAATGCGGACGACTCAATCTCAACTTTACCTTAACACTGCACAGGAAGAAATCCAGAGCTCTGTGCACCAAAACTACTAAAATGTTTCTGACCTGGTCATCTTCCAGTGCACTCTAACGGGAAATCGCCATTTCAGCCCTTGGACGAGTTGGACTCCACTTCGAAGTCAATGCTGTATAACTGCATAGTAATTATGATGGCGGCGAAGGCCTTGGAAAGTCGGGCATGGAGCATTACTTCATTCACTTCGAGGAGTCATATGCAGATTGGATTTTGGATAAATACCCGAGATTTTGGATATCAAAAGGTGGACCTCCAAGAAGTGTACACTTGTGTGGGGATGGTGAACATTCGAAATATCTAAGCTATTAATCCGGTCAGATTTTTTTTACCATTCTTGCGCGCTCCATATTCAGTGGTAGTGGTAGTCTAGCGGCCAGCTATTTTCAGAACAAAGTTCTCATGACTCGTTGGCCACGAAATTTGTGAAAAATTAGATTCTGAGTATCCACAAGTACAACGGACATACTAGAGGGATCACAATGAAAGTCGTGACCAACAGTGATCAGTCTACTTAACAAATTAAAGTCCACGAATTGTACAAATCATGACAGTAATTCGAACGTGGTACATAATAATTTCAACTAGCTAAGAAACTTCCGAATCAACCAAAGTATAGATATTCTTTGATTGATATGAACAGGATAATATATATAAAAATATAAAAATATATTTTTACATACCCTTAAAGAGATACATACCATACTCAAAAGTTGACTTAATTTAGTATATGTGAATCATAGCCAATTGGCTTATCTCAATGTGAGGAAATAACAGATCTCTACCATGATGTTCCAAATTACAATAGCATTGTATGCATTGAATTAGACATGCATGAGGTTTAATCTCATTCCTATAGACCTCACGAACGCAAAGAGCATGGCACCATTTTCTGGAAAAAGGAGCAAAGCTTTTCCGCTAAATATCATGTGAGTTTTATAATATAGATATCAATGTTCAGTGTCGAGAGAATAAGTCCACTTGGCTGCAGAATATCGGAAGAACTTCACAGGAGTGAGGAAAAATATCTGATCGGTTGAGTGTCTTACGGTATGGATGTCTGGAGATCTGCGCTAATGGATTACACATAAAACATGGCCGAAAAGCTGTTGTTTTTGTAGTTGTCTTGTACGTTACCATCATGTCAGGGAACATGGTTCCGAATGAGAATATCGTTCTTAAGCCTCACAATTAGGCTAAGCAGACGTTGTCTCCCAATGGTCCACGTGGCTACTTTCACAACGACACGTGATACGAGTCCTGACGACAGAAAGTGAACACTCAGCGGTGTCAGCTCTGACGAGTTCACTTACAGACCTCTCGCTCCCCTCCCTCTTTCTCTAAATCTATCACCTTTCCGCAATGCCAGCTCCATAATACTGTACACCGAAATTCACTTCATCTAACTGTCACAGATGATGCCCCGGCAATGTCAGATTCCATTTCAGCCTTCTTACATCTCTTCCTTCGCCCATCATGGGCTTTCAGAATGCTGCATTGCAGCAGTGGTTGTCGTAAGAGAGTCGAGACTCGAGTGCGAAATCTCAACAGAAATATATTATTGTGCTTTTGTGCACCTGGCGAGTAACTGCACCCCGGTTCACACTTTCCCCAGACTACCGCGGTAGAAGTAGATATTCGAGGGCGGGCGACATAAGAAACCAGCCGGCCATGAAACTGGTGTAGAAAGCTGCCGGGTAAAACGGAACCATTGGAAGTAGATGTTGTCGTCGCCGCAGCTGCATTTGTTTGAAAGCCTAGCCGTGAGGTTCGGAGCTCCTGACAACTGCTGCTGCTGCTGCTGCTGCTTCTCCGGTGTCTGGCTCTCTTGTGATTTCTTCCAGCATCCAAACCGCTTGCTCTACCCTCAATTGCGATCAGTTGTTTCCGAGACCATCAGCCAGACATCAGACATCAGGGACAGAGCGATGAGTTACACAGTGAGCTAGTAGTGGACGGCTTCACAGACACTGAGTCCTTGCTGCTGTTGGGCAAAAGTGGGGACCATGCAGCTGAAGTGAATGGACATAACCACTTTTTTGCGAGTTCAGTTGGTGTATGTTGCATATGATGTCGCAAACAGGAGTGCAGTGGTTGGATGAATGGAGGTATCATGATGGTATCGTGCTCTGACGGTGTAGACTCTGGAGCGACCGGACGTTAAGTTCTTTCCTAGAAATCGCCCATGACGTGAATCCAGTACGTCTGAGCGGTATGGACCAAGTGTCAGATATATTCATACTTGGACTCTAGTGCAGAAAACATGTTACCTTCGCAGCTGCAAACTGGATTCCAAGCTTTTGAAAAGTCAAAGCTGCATCCATTTTGTATTTGCAAAGAAACATCTGACCATTATTTTACATGGCGACTCAATCCAGAGCTCTCAAACACTTACGATAGTCTCGTAACTCTCAAAGCGTCTCGACGTGCACAAAGTCCAGCAGTATGTTGTGGAAAGCTAGCCGGTCGAGAACAATGCTCGCCACTTTTCTTACAACTTGACGAGAATAGAATCAATCTGGCTCGCGCATTCATATTTTATAGTCGCATGCAACGAGGAGCTGATCGGACCCCTCGACCCCTCGGATTCCAGATGACAGTCCCCAAGGCGTGCTCTCTTGTGCTGGCCAAAGTCGACTCGACTTTGTTGTTCAAAGTCGTCTCCTCACCTTAAGCCTCCTTCTTGACCATCAGACGAAAGAGCATATCCACAACTGCTGTCGAATCTCAACTGTTATTACCTGCGAGTTGAGGTAAAGCAGCTCGACGAGTTAGAGTAATGATCTTCTTCTTCAGTCGAAGTTCTCATCGCTTTTAAGGCCTTGAGCTGAAAACTTGCTGGCCCACAAAGTGTTCGCTCACATCGGGACAGACCCAGCTCACAAGACCCCTGACTGTGGATGACTCGCTGATGCTAGTGTGCAGGATACGTAGTCTAGACACCGTAAATGGCCAGCCAAATTCGACCTTCTGTCCTGGCGGTTTTCTTGTTTTGCCGCATATGCCGCGTTAGGGAAATTCCTCCTTCTCCTTTCCTTGATTTCTTTGACATTACCACGAACCAGCGCCAAGGCAAAAAATTTGCTATCAACTGGGTTTTTGTCAAAGTTGCACTTATCTTCAGTTGACTGCAATAGAGGACCAGGACAGGAAAGTGATGATTGGATATAGGCAGACTTCAGATTGTCTTCTTCGCCCGACCATGAACTGAGAACACTTAGACAGTCTCAAGTTGATCTGAACACATTGACCATGACTTGCTCTTGGTTCGATTGCCTTCTATTTTGAAAAGGCATCTACTTCGGTCCAGAAAACATATTCACATTCACATATTCACGCCCATCTCGATGCCAGAGTAGACGCTTGTATTCCGCATAATATACTGTGTCAGAAAACTTCGTGAACTGCCTACAACCTTCGGCCGTGACTTGTAAGCTTCCGAATTCACCCGCCCTCTAATTTGTCCAGCTATATCTCCTCTGACTGCATGGGGGCAGAGCTCAAGGAGTTAGGCCTTGCTGGATGATTTTACCAAATCACAAATCACTTGTCAAAACAAAACTCGTGGGCTTATGGAATTGTTTCCGGAGTACTGGAGTGTTGGCCAAGTGCAGGTGACGACAGAAGTCATTCGGTAAGTGCTTTCATTGGCTTCTCTTGACAGCTTCCCACATCCATTTTGTGCCACTAGCTTTACGTTAGAGACTTATCTTCTGCTCCCATCCGTATTCCTGAACGGTGTTGTGTGGAAGCAGATACCGTAGTGCTGAATCTGACGTCTACTGTGGTACCTTGAGCAGCAGATAATCTTCTCGGGAGCCGGAACTACATCCACTCTTACGAACTCTCTGCCGAATTTTGTGCCCTTATGGTTCTGAACGTCAGTTCGTGTGAAACTCCGACTATTGATCCATATCCACAAGCAAATCACTCTCAAGTCGTAGATTCAAACTGGACAGAGGGGATGTCTTTTGTTCAGTCCATGTCTCTTTCAGTGTGTACAAAAGTTGATCCAAACGGCAGGGCACGTTATTTCGGTACATGATGCGAATATACATAAACATGTATGTGTTAGCTGCGAGCTCAGGCAGCTTACATGTTCCCAGCGTGGATATATGTTACGACCAGGAGGACCTTCCAAACCAGCTTGTGGTTTGTCGGAAGACTAAGGAAGAGCCTATCAATGTAATCTAAGAGTAAGCTACTGCGAGGTCACAACCGTCTGTTGTATGTGTCTTCTACCAGCTCAGCTAAGCTGAGCTCGACTAAAATGGACCTGGCTGCATGAATCTAAGTCGAAACCCGTACAAACAGGGATCATTCTTCTCAACCTACTCCTGTCTAAAGAACAAAGTCTATGGTCGTCTGCGTGTATGACAAAGTGAGTGTAGGGATTCAGCGGCCACCACCTATTGTAAAGTTTGGTAGCCCTCGACTAACATCGATCTCCTAGTTCTTAGAGTTGCTAAAAGCCCATACAGGAATACCAATACAGAACTCACAGCCATTGCTGCACCGAAGAGCAGAAGTGTGCTGAAGAGAGCTTCCAAGAAATCTTCGGGTTTATGATCCGGTCCACCATCAGCATGATTTTGAGGTGTAGATGGGACGTCGTCAACATGTGAAGGTGGACCTGGAAGTACAGAAAGACTTTGTTATAACGATAACGCTTCCTTTGGTCTGTCAGTTCAGCTCACTTTGGGGGACACTCGCTAGTTCTGAGGGCACGAAATTTAGCTTAAACGAGAAGCACAACGTTCCCATGACTTGAAACTGGTACTAACTTCATGACCGATTTTGGACGAAGAATGTGACTCGAACTTTTACATGTTGTAGGTATTTTTATGAGTCAATGGATGAGAGGGACAGGCGCAGAGATGAAGATGCGTCTGGTACGGACGCTCTATTAGAATGGTCCATTATGGGGGAAATGGTTTGACATGTAGACACCTACTCTGACCCTCTCCGAACATATAACTTTTTGTCATGTGGAGTCCAATTGCGAACAAGTCTCTCAAGTCCCCCGAAGATGTTACAAATGGTCTAAATGCCGAGAGATTCATGTGACCTAGACTCATAGCAGCAACAGGTTAACCGGGATGTAGTGTCACAACTTTCAGTCTGTATAAGATGCGATCGGCAGTGCAGACTCAGTGCAGTCAAGAATCAGATCCACCCCAACGAAAGATGTGGCAGATATTTCCAAGATAGAGATTCAGGTGTGCAGAGGATTTACTTGGTGAATGAGAAGGTCGGGAGGTAGTTGAAGAGCATCAGAGTTTCGAGTGATGTCAAGTGTAACGTCATACCTGTCACAACATGAAGCAAGTAGGTCGAAGTCGCAAGCTTGTGCGACGAAACATGAACTTTTACTAGTGCTGTCGACGTGTTCTTCTTCAGCACCAGCGAGGACCCAAACATGTCGGCCTCCATGGTGTTTGAAGTGAATTTTACTCTGAATTTGTCGTTTTCCTGGGCAGGGAACAAAGCAGGTCCATGTGCGTGAGCGTTAGAGCTGGAAGCCCAGCTCACAGGTTTTAGAAACCAAAACCTTTAGAATACGAGTCTCAATTCTAGAATTTGAGAGTTATCAACCAGGTTTGCATTCAGGACTGACAGGGGACATATCATCCAGCGATAACCTTGAGGAAGCCCTGCTCAAAGACCGTCAGATGGAAGGTCTTCAATCTCTCGGAAATGCTCGATCTATGGGGCATGATGCGCAATGATCCCAGAAAATGAAAAGCAGTCCCACACCTTCAGGAGGCCTCTTGAGAACTCTGGTGCAATGAGCAGATGAATTAGGAATATAACAGGCGAGGAGAAACTTCTATGTAACACTTGCAATGACATCGCTCGATTAGGTTGTGGCATAGTTTCTCGTACCTTGCCAAGAGCCAATCTGGCTGTGACATGAAGGTCGTTGACATCTTCAGGGACGACGACGGTGTAATTGAAGTTAGTTGAACTGAAGGGAGGTTGCATTTGGCCCTCGGGCACTTGCAAGTCTGCTAACAGTGCGGGTGGTCGGAAAAGTCTCTCCTGCTGAATACGACGCTGCCTCATCAGGACGCTACTCTCCTCTCCGCTCAAAGTACGTTGTTGAGAGAGACTCACAAACAGGACGAGGAACAAGAAGCCATATGCACAAAACTTAGCATTCGGAGTTGGCCCCATTTGATGAGAGTTCAATTTGTGAGGTTTAATTCTACAGTGGGACGAGGAATGAATGCTGTGTTGGAATCAACTTCAGCTTCGACTCCAAGGAACTCGGATGATTAAGAGCCGGACTGACGATACACCCAAGGAAAGGACAGAGTAGATGGAAGGGCTTGAAGCTGCAGTCGTTAGCAGGCAGGCAGGAGGCGACTGGCTAACAAGCGCTAAGGCTCAAGGAAGGATTCCGAGCAGAGGAACGAGACACAAATTTCTGGTAAGCTAATCGAGCGGGAGATTTTAAGTACCCACTCAATCACCCCAATCACGTGAACTGTCGGGAAGAAAAAACTTCTGGGGCTCGATCTCTCGTTCTTCAACCATCAAATCCGCAAGGGAAATTCAACTCAAACCCAATGTGGATCAGGCAAACCAGCCTGTTCCTCAGCGAAGCTCGCGACGGGTCTCACAACGTTGCGTGGTGGAAGTTGCTCCCAATGCTCGCTCGGCGTCTCAAAATTCTTGTGTGAGGACGGAAAAAACGAACCGACTGTTGGTGTCTGACAGGTAATTCAATCATTAAAGATGGAAGCAGAATGAGAGACAGTGTCCGAGAATCACAGAGCGCATTTGACGCCTCGATGCGGCACGATCTGCATGCCAGCAATCTGAGACGCACACACGGCCATCGGGAACCTATAACACTCGTAAATTCCGCACTAGATCCGGCGGATGGACCTCCGAAACTCTACAGTGAGCACAACAACGCTTCGTCCCGAGACTCCGGATTCCAAATCTCGTGGCCTTGTGGCGTCAGCACCGTGGCTGAGGTTCTGGATGGACAGGCAGCCCTTTAATTAGTCGACCCAGAGGGCCCTCAACTGCGATTCACCCTCCCAATATCCGCAGCTGACGTTACTCACCACTCCGGCTCAGGAATCAGGACAACGAAGCTCGGGACCCCACTCGTCCCGAGCTTACTGGGTCCGACTGACGCAGCACCTGATCTGTGGCAAGCCAAGTCAAAGGATCCTTTTCTCGTCGACGCATTTCCTGGGTGACACCCTCGATCCATCTAGTCGACAGATGGATAATCTAGGATAAGAAAAGTGAAGGTGTGTGTCCAGATCTGAGATTGATGATTGGAATCTGCTTTCCTTAGGTCGAAGGGAGTGCAAGGGAGCGAGGAGGATGCTGATGAGGATGTTATTAAGAGGATGAAATGCAGGTCCGCATCGAAGTGTCACTCTCATCTTCGCAGACTGTGGACATGTCTTGGAACGGGACGCGGACTTGAACACAAAGTGTGTGGCATATCCAATACCGGAGAGTGGTGGGATGGCAGTCTAGGTATCAGACTGCATGGGAGCCATCGCTGTCGGTGGACGGTCGAGATTTTGGTCGCAGACTCGAATCCGATTACGATTTCGAAACATGTCGGATGGCTTTCTTGGATGGATAGTGCGGGGTCGCTCGTCTCAGTCCTCGCTGACAGAATCGAAATGAGTACAGCTGATACGATTCGTGGATCCCTCAGCGAGTCCTGCTTTTCTGCACAGGTGTTGCTTTTTGCGGGATTGACTGTTGACTCCATTACTGTACGTAACAAATGTAAGCAAGCAACGACGTAAAGCCTAATCGTCTCGATTCTCTCGATCCTCTTCCTGCGACGAGTACGCATATTCGAGTGGGACATGTCGCTCCCGCCGTAGGGGAGGTTTTATCTATCAGGGTAGTTACAAACCAGAGCTCTTCTTTCAAGCGTATTTGATCGAGTCCTAGCATCATAGGACAGTCGGCACCATATTCTTCAGGAATAAGGCCAACAAAGCTCAACCCAAATCGGACGCTCTAGTCGAAGAACTCTCTCGATTCGACCGATGAGAAATTTGTCTCGAACCAACGCCTGGAGGAAAAGTATAATTGAACCGGCCCATCTTCGACATGGTGCGGATGAAAAGCTTCTCACCTCGAACTCAGAGTGTTTCGAGTTGGATCACATAGTGACAATGCAGCTACTTCCATTCTGTTGTCTTACAGTAAGTTCATTCTGTGCATATCAAGGATGTGAGGCGAGCCAATTCCATGGTGGGAATCTCGTTATAAAAGCACCCACCATCGACCTTGCCTGCCTCTCAAGTCACACCTGACTCCCAGAAGCTGATCTACATACATCCTCCAGCGAGTCGGTCCTCAGAGTGTGAAGGATCTTCGTGGACGCTGATAGCTCCAATGCCTAGAAAGCATCATCCATCTATCCCTTCGATGAGCCCTGAATCAATGACGGAATTGGACATGCGATTCTCAAAAGTCGCCGAACGACAGCATCCGGCAGTGAGTGATTTGACGCCCCAACCAAACTCAATTCAATTCCGAGTGATGAGAAACAAAACTAATATATGGGATCTCGTTGGCTCCACCACTCTCGCTCAACTCGGCGTGCGTGCGTGCTTGATCAGCAAAGCTGCGTGACGCTACGCAGATTCTGATTCTGATTCATCCGTTGCGAGATCAGAGCGGAAGAGTCCATTCCACGATGGAATTCATTATCGAATGAAGTCGCTGGAATTCCACAACCTGCTACAGACCGAATCACGAAGAACCCGATCATCGGTCCACAGAGTAAGTGCGAGAATCAGGACCGAGAGGCCTCAGAGGATGCATCCTCATCGGCCACAAAATCTCCAGCAACGTTCAACGATGCGGCGATCGCGGTCGTCTGTTGCTCGATGGGAAGGAAGAGGGAGATTCGGTCGCCTCTCGACACATGGAATTCCCGTCCCCGTCCTAAGGCAAGGCCTCAGGTTTTGTTGGATCGTGGGATTCGACGACCGCTCTCTGCCATTGCCTTGCGGGAGCTGGGAGTCAAGTTCGATCGACGCCACCGTGGTCAGAGTGCATGCATGCGATCCATCCATCCTCCACCTCCACACAATCCAGCTCAGCGTGCAATGTGTCTACAGACTATTTTATGGCAAATGGTGGACCAGGGCAGAGCTCACATCTGGCTCGCGCTCCTCGTTACAAGTGGACACGCACGCAGTCGAGCGAGCGAGAGGCTCGATTTGAAAATCTCCTGCTTCGTTTCGAGTCGTGTCGAGCGGATCGACGATCGACGAACCGGCCGATGATGAATGGCCTAAAACAGAATCCAATGTCGCGACCACGGATCGGTCATAAACCTCATCTCGTGCAGAGACCGACGCTGGCGCTAGCGACGAGCTGAAGGTTCCATTCCTCAGACAGCATCACTGCACGACGCCTCATCATCGCGTGATTGCACTCACTCACTCACTCATTCAGCGCAGTTCGCGACTCACATCTTCACCACACTTCCGAATAGAAAATCCGAAATCACAATCTCCGCTAGCACTCGTCGAATTCGATGGAATGCGCTCGCTTGGCAGCAGCGACGGCGCCGTGCGTCGCGGTTGAGCGCGAGCGAGAGCGAGGGTCGAGAACGCGAGCACAGTTTGCAGCAGCGCGGGCCAGAGGGCCCTCCGGAGCCAGAATCTCGATGGGCCCGATGCAGAGGCCCGAGCGGGCGCGGGCGGCGGCGTCGACGGACGAGACGATGCCCGAGCAGGCCGAGCGGTCGCGCCACCCGCTGGACCCGCACAAGCCCGTGTTCAGCAACCTGCTGCCCGAGTTCGCGCGCCCGTACCCGTCCTTCGAAGGCTGGTACACGCGGCTCTGGGACCCCGAGTCCAACTTCAGCGCCGGCATGATCATGGCCACGAATTACGCCACGCAGGAGAGCCAGGTCACCCTCGTCTTCACCCCCGCGCCTCGCGACGTCGGCCCCGACGCCTCCCCGGCCTTCGAGCTCCGCACCTACGCCGTCGCTGACATGTCCAAGGTCCGTTCCTCACAAACCCTGGCTCCCGTGGGCCTTCGCAATTCCGCGAATCATCGAAGCCGAGGCATTCAATTCATCGTGGAATCTTGAAATTCGCTCTCTTCGCGATTGATGCTTCGCTCGTTGCTTGTCCGAGCGATCGAACAATGCGAGAAATAGTAATGCATGTCCATTCCGCGCGTTGTTCCTATCCTCTGGGACCTCGAGACCCAATTCCGCGAATCATCGAAGGCAAGGCATTCAATTCATCGCGGAATCTCAAAATCGCTCTCGTCGCCTTCGATGCTCGGCTCGTCGCGAGGAAGAGTAATGCATGAAGCTATCGTGATGACGATTCTGATTTTCATGGACGAGCGCCGAGAGGTGAACCGGGCGAAGAGGTCGATGGACTGCATCTGAGCGGAGCGTGAGTGGTTTCCTCAGCCATGGCATGGACGAGTTCGTTTCGTGCTCGGCAGAGGGGACGTCTGCTGGCTGTGAATTCTCTGAAGCTCAGTTCGCCGGTATGTCGTTGATGCGCAGGAAGCGAGATTTCAAGATGGAGTGTACCGAGAGGATTGGCCGGCAGAGCCCGTTGGGTTTGAATGGGAGGCCCCCGGATTAGGGAAGCTCAAAATGACGGCTCACGAGACTCACCTCGACATGACTGTCAAAGGCTACAGCTTGAAGGCCCGTCTCACCGACGAGGTGAGCCTCTCGACTTGGAATTCGATCGTTCAGAAAATTTAAATTTAAGTAGATTTTTAATTTTAAGTTTTAAATTTAAAGCTCCACCGCGCGAGAGCTGAATCGCTCGCTGTGAATTGTTCGTGAATTGCATCATGTCTGTGTGAATTGGTCCAGATGGTCCGCGCGTTAGACGTGGGTCTCGATGGCACATGTCGTCGGATTTGTTAGGCGCAGAAACGCTGATGAGACTGGTTCGAATGTGCAGATTTTGTGGGACACCGAGCAGTCGGAGAAAGGACCGGAGGGTTGGGCCAAAAGCTTCCCCATTCCGACTCATTGGTACGTCTACAGCCTGGGCTCGAAAGCAGAGTACGAGTTCTCCGGACCCGATGGAGCTCTAGCGAGGAAGGGGACGGCTTTAGCCCATTGCGAGAAAAATTGGGGACTTACCTTCCCCAATGGCCATGTTTGGTTTCAGGGCTTTTCTAAAGAGAATGACGCTCAGGTCCGCATGTCCAAATTACTCTCACCCTCGTTAAGTGAAATGTCTCCTCACTGCCATTCGAGCTCTCTGTCATTGTTCGGATTCTGGAAGCTTGTGAACCTCAGGAACTAGAAGTCTCCAGTCACAAGTGATCGATCGAAGCGAGCGTCAGAATACGGAATCTCACGTGAGCTTGAGATCACAGCGAACACAGCGAGCTTTATCTCACAGTGCTGACATGATTGGTTGTATCTCCTCAGATTCTCGGCTCAGCCGCATTCTTCACTTTGGGAAGTGTGAAAACTCCATACATTGTATCTATGGGCTATCGATCGCCGGTGATTAACATCGACATGAGGACCAATGACCTCGGCACTGTGTTCAAAAATATAGAGATTAAACCTCTAGATGGTGAATTTTCCGTCACCGGCGTCAGTACATCTCACACCATCCAGGCAAGTATATCAAAATCAACTGCCTTCATTCATCGGGGTCGGCTACCGCCGGAGAATTTAATAGATGCTTCACACCTGCTTTCCGAAGTGTACATCAAGCACGTCCCCCATATATCTGACTAATCGATTCGTGCAGATTCACGCGAAAGCGAACCCCGAGACATTGTGCGAGTCGATTCTTGCTCCCATGGCGAAAGTGAAGTGGGAGTCCGCCTGCCGGGAGACGTTTTTGGCCGAGATCACGGTGGAAGTGTACGAGCACGCCGCATGGGGAATCGCTGGAGACGACAAGCTCATCGACAAGAGAACATTCTTGTACGCCGGACTCGAGTTCGGAGAAGATCTCCTGAAAGAAGCCACAGAAAACCTGAAGAAAGAGGACGAGGATAAGCAAGTCGAAAGATCACGAGCCATCGATAGTTAGGCTCAGAATGGATGATTGGAGGATGACTCCCACCGCGTTCATCCATCACTCATGAGTGTACAGTCCTGGGCTCTGCTGCATCATGCTCGTCTGTCTCAAGGTAGCATTCAATTTGCAGTCTTGTACTCTAACTTGTAAACAAGTGTACAGTGCGGAAGTCACATATTATTAACGAAGTTGAAAAGCAGTTCAGCTGATTTTTGTAGATGTGGGGACTGCAAATCTTCTTCGTAGCGTCTCGGTCTTCACTTATTTATACCACCGCCGATGATCTTTGTACAGAGAAGCGGTCTGCCATCGTCATGAGACAACTTCACAGTATCACCTCATATGCTCACATGCATGCGCCACGTGAAAGCTTGAGTGTGAAATCATTATATGAAGCAGTATAATTCACATTTTGAAGACGATGATTTGCCGCGGAAGTTGAGGTGACTTGCTTTAACTGTAAAATCTAATTATTTTCTATTTAACATTGAAAGTATGATCGGAGAAGGAAAAGTTCAGAATTAATTGGGACTGTTTCAGAACAACCCTACGGGCGGATATAGATCTGATTAGAACAGTACACATCGCCTTTACATGTTAATTTTCACACATGGTAAAACAAGTCGCACAATGCAATGGCAGGTAATTGCACAAACTAATGACCTTTCATGATATGCACTGTCTTTATAATAACTTCACAAACATATTCAGGTATAGCACATATGAGATTTAGTACATAGGCAAAAGAAAAACGTGCAGCGAAAAGGGAAATTGTCTATGTTAATATCGTGTTGAAAAAAAGCAAACATTGGCGAAAAATACGTAAGAATTACTGAGAATAATACTAAGATTGAAGATACGTACGAAGTAATATACACAAATGCCACATATAAATGTATCTATATATTCAATATACCTTCTTTTTTTTTTCCAAAATTCAGATTTTTTTGTGTATATAAACAAGCAATTAAAAGTGACTTCCTAAGAAAATTTAAGTTTAACACAAGTTCGTAATAATTTACACCATTTTGATTTTCAAATTCATATAGTTTAAGTCTAAATATCAATAGAAATGTATTAAGCTCCGTTCAACTCCAGTGGTTTTTCATTGGATTCGAATCAAGATAATTGCATTGATCTCAATCAACGTCGTGCATCTAATGATTATTTTATCATCATGAATAAGTTTATATCGAAAAAAAATAATTTAATGGAATTTCATACCAGCGGATTTAGATATACATATTCAATATTTATAAATTTTTCAATGAAATATATAATATATTAAAAAAAATCGATAAGTATATGTATAAATATGCATAAGTATAAATAAATAAAATGTATGATATCAACATTGAATGTTAAAAAATCCTTATTGATTACTAAAATAGAGGTCCAAAACTCCAATACCTGCATACATAATTTGCGGAAAAGAATAGATAGTGTTTACAATAATTAATTATTTTTTCATATAAACAAATTTATACTCATGAATTTCATGACCGGGATTTGTTATGGCTATTTGTTATACAGTGTAGAACACAGTGAATTGCGATCGCACAAGCTATTGCTTGAAAATCCTTCTGCTCCATCAGACGTTTCTTCGTGATGGACTTGCGGCCTTACGCAAAATGCACCGAATAATTCAAAAAAAGTTTCTCACACGCTGTCAGACATGATTAGCTCCGTATGTATTTTAAACCAGGCCAAGAGAATCCCAATAATAAATATAAGAGTATTGAGAACTACCTATATTCTACCTTTTAATCGGGAAAATGCAAATTGACAAGGAGAAAAAGTTGGAACATTTCTTTCATACTCCACCAACGTAAAGCCATTGTAGGTTCAATCTTAGCAAATATTTCTCATCAATTGACCAACATATTTTTTCTCTCTACAATACTTTTAACACTCAGCACCTTACACTTTCTGAGGTTGGTGATGCATTATGGCAATAGAAAGTAGTTCAAGGTAAGATCACTTTGGATATTAGTACTATGTAATAAAATTCACTTTGTACCCATCGATATTTCAACGCTATTAGCGATTAACCCATTTCACCTCATTGAAATATATAAAAGTGTGAAATTCTAATTTCATAATAGACATTTCTTTCTCTTCTTCTTTGTGAATCAATCCAAGAATTTTCATCAAAATCTTGAACTCTTGTCATCTCTTAACAGACCTCAAGTTCCAATGTTTGAAACAAATTTCCTAACAAAAATTAAGAGACATAATTTGCTTTTCATTATTAAAACGATATTATTAAAATCTCGAAAATCATCAATTTCTTTGGAATTAAACTGACGGTCAAAGTGATTCGTTATGAACTTTGAACGTAAAAAGCTTTTGCTCAGTTCGCATCATCATATGTTTTGCCTTGACAGTGATGTAAATTCGAAGGTACCGGCTAGTGCAAGTTTTTTAATTGATTATGAAGCATCTTTAACATTGTGTCAAGATTGTTTATAGTCCGACTTTTATCACATTCCACATCTATATTTGCCAAATGGCGATTTGCTTCCATCCTACTTCATCTTTATTGATCCGAGCTCATCCATATCACAAATTTGTTTGTCTATTACAGTATCATATAAAACAACATTCTAAAATTATGTCAATGATGGCCTTAACTATGATACTACAACTCTTTGTATGATTTTAAAGAGCATAAATTTATTTGCATATATGATGAAAACATGAGTAAAAATATACTTCATTTCTATAATATCAAACATATCTAAATGGGGTCACATGAATTCTCTGAACTCGTTGTGAATGTGAAGTTATAATTGAAACAATAAAATTATGAAATATAATCAATAGCAAATGTATATTCTAAGGATTTATATTCAGGCTTTGATTATCATGATTCTTAAGTTTCATTATGATTATTTATTCATTTTTATAAATTATTTTTTTGTAAATTAAATCTACGTTAATACATTGCTATTTCAAATTTTGATACAAATGTAGATAATAAAATAAGATGATTATTTTGTTTTTATAAGCTTAATTTTTTATTAAAAAAATTAAACACGAAGTAAGACATGTACAAATGAATTTATAAGAGTGAAAAAATTTGTAAAAATTTGAATTTCTTGTGACTTTGAAGACTAATAAAAATTATACCTAAATGAATAATTTGTGAGTGATGTAAAACTCAAAATTCAATATATAATTCAAGAATATTTTGAGTTAAGTCAAATGTGACTCCAAAACTATAAAAGCTTGTGATTGTGTTGTGTTGCACAAATGTTTTGTGGGTTTATGGCATTTCTTTATGCACATAATTTTTCATTCTCAAAAATGTACAACTCTGAAAAGAATAATTTTGAAAATCAAACATTTTCTAAGCAATGACATTTAATCAAAAGTTCAAATAGAATTAAAGAAAAAAATTTCCTCATTTATTATTCAAAAATTGAAAATTTATAATAGATTTTGAAGTTAATGATGTGAAATGATGATCAATCAATTATGTATAAAAATGACAAAGTGATTCAAAATCTTAAAAGGTAATTTTTTGGGTATTGAATAGTCAAATATTTTTAATTAGATTAAAGAATGTCTTCCGTGAATGTGCACATAAGATATTGTCCAAAGATTATGTTTGTGGCTCTTAGAACAAAAAATCATCAGAATTTTATGAACAGTATTGAAGTCGTGCTAAAAAAATTCATTTATCGACGTGATGCAATGATAAGTGGGGTCGAAAGATCTAACATTTTAATCGACCGTGAGAGACGGTGGAGTATGAAAAATTGACAGCACCACAAAATAAAACATTTATATTTCGTGATTAGACAATTGGCGAAGAGTGATAGCTAGCAGTTTCAAACAATCTGATACACGCCGAAGTTAGTGTTTATCGAGCAATAGTACGAGGTACTTAGCGAGCCAAGTCCGACAAAGAGGCTATAAAAGAGAATGAAAATTGTGTTTGCACATGAGTAAAAAAGCCTTTGGCGGGAATTAGTATCTTGAATGTTTGAATTCAATTCGCATAGAGTAAGTTTGAAAAGTTTTAGATTTCTTCTGATATTGAATTCAAAATTGAAATGAGTAGAATTAACCATACTGAACAAGATGACAGCAACAAAAGTTTGCGGTGCTACGGTTGACATTGCCAAAAAGGAAGGAGTTGGTCTTAGTGACAATATAATCTTTATGTAAATAAAGATTTGTTTTGTTGGAAGTTGAAATAAATATGTTGTCTGATTTGGATCAAAATGCATTGAGCAAATTTATATTAATTTTTTAATCATTTGTTTTTCTGTTCACTTGAACTCAAAATAAACATTCTTATAACGTTGGGAAACTCTAAATGTTTTAAATTTCCATAGGGGAAAATATTAAAACAATCATCAATCACTTTTTGTGCCTTTAATATGTAATAAATAACTTTCAAATTTTAACAAAGTTCTTAGTATATTTGGTAATTGGGTTAATTTTAAACCAACAATACCAACAAGAATGGCAATTTATGATATTATCACCGCCAGTCTGGAGAATCGGAAAGTGTTCATGTGAAGTTCGAGAATGATGACTCAAGAGTTCAGCTGAGAGTTGCTCGGAAAGATGTGAGTGCGTTTTGGAAAGAGAATTTTCCGAGACAGAATTCCAGAATCGTTCATGTCACGAGAAAAACATGGAACTTGAAACACGGAACGTTCAGACAAGAGCCCGAGACTCGATGAGAACAGAATACAAATTTTAAAATAGAGAAGCAAAAAGAAATGCGAGTCAGCATTTCAAGGGGAGAATCAGGGTAGCATCCAGTGCAGCGGCAATCCTCGTGTGCAGACGGAATTCGACGATTTCACGAACCGGTTCCGATCCTTTGCTTTGCTTTGCTTGCGAGTCAGCTCGATCCTCGGTCTGCGAAGGACGAAGCGCATGCTCGCGAATCTCTTGGACTCGGGGGAGAACTGGCTCGGAGGATCCGAATGTGGAGAATTGAACACGAGACCGAAAAGGATGGTGCTGCGAGATTTGTCCTTCCGGTTCTAGTGCACTACACTCGGATCAGCGTCGTGGAGGGAGGGAGGGAGGGAGGGAGGGAGGGAGTCTTCGATGAATGCATTCTTCGTCGTCATGCAACCTGTCGAAATTTCGACACAACCGGCTCCGTTCCTCGCACAAGACTTTGGTAGTTGATTGAAATTGTTGTGCATTGGAAGACGGACAACTGTCACTCACGTTGTTTGGTTCTTTGGAACGATTGCTCCGACTGGCATCTGGAGACAAACTCTGAGTGATTTTGTCAAGTGATTTTGCGCGTCCCGCGGCTCAAGCCGTACTCTTGAGTGGTTCGAGTGGTCAGGCGAGAATGAGCGCCATGAGGTTGCTGGAGGATTGTTGATAGTCAAATTTATACGCAAGTTAGGAGTGTCCAGGGGATTCGTCAACACCAGCAACGACAGCTCGGCTGCCTGCTTGAAGAAGCTCTGGGAGGCATCACAGGAGAGAAGAGTTCGGCTGGGGTTCATCGTCGAGAATAGCGATGGATTTGAAAGATGTGAGATTCTACACGATTTCGTGTGCAGGGTTGGTGGTATTCTATTGTGTGGTGACTTGGGTGGCACAGATATCGGGCATGGTTCTAGGAGGGATGAGCACGCAGCATCCTCTTGATCCTCATCAGCCCACTTTCAGCAAATGGCTGCCGGAATCCTTTCGACCTTATCCTTCTTTTGAAGGTTGGTATTTTCGGTTGTTGGACACCGAGAGTAATTTCAGCGCCGCCGTGGTTGTGGCCACAAATTATGCTACCCAGGAGAGCCAAGTGACTCTCCTCTTCACCTCGTCGTCCAAAGATGCTGAGCTTATCGATAGCTCGTCTCCAGCTAGCGGCGGCGGCGCCAGCAGCAGCTACAAGCTGCGTACTCACGCCAGGGCAGCCATGTCCGAGGTTGGTTCCTTGCCTGCTTCATCTGTCCACTTTTGTTTGTGAGTTCTCGAGATTATGTTTTGAGATTAACAATCTCCCTCAACTTTCGCACTTCAACTTTCGCTCTTTCAGCTCTCTGAGTTCGATGACGTGTTTGAATTGTACGCTTCTCCGTTCATCGTACTCTTGACAGCTACAATCATGTTGGAGTTTGAGAACGCTTAACTTAGATAAGAGTTCTCAAAGTCCGAAGAGCTATACATTGTTGTAACTGATGAACAGAATTCATACGCTGGCTTTGGGAACGAAGAAGAAAAGGATGAAGAAAATTGTCCACCGAGAAAGGACCGGGGCCGTTGTAAAGGGTTTAGGGTTTAGGCTCTCCCACTGCCTGGCGAATCACTATCAAGGGCTTATTCATCCTTTTCGTATTATGAATGAACACCACCCAGCATCGAGGTGGTGGTGGAGAGGACGCTTCACCCATCGGCGAGACTCATTTGAAGAAACGAAAGCACCGTACCTTTTCGGCTCTCGTCAATGTACCAGAGGTGTACGATAATCTTTAAGTCTAACAGAAGATATACAGAAGATAAGCCCAAATAAGTATACAAGACGACTAACTGACAGTTTCATGTTTACAACTACGAAACTTTTTTGCCGATAGTCTCAACACAATGCTACTTTCCTCGTCGACGGATTCTAGGCCCAAGATCCATTTGTAATTAATCTCCTATTTATCTGTGTTAGTATTACGTGTTCCGTTGGAGGCGAAGTTCGAAGTTCGAAGTAGGAGGTCGGAGGGAAAACAGGAGACCCGGTGAACCTCTGGGATTCGAATGGGAAGCGCCAGGACTGGGGAAGGTCAACATGACAGCGAGTGAAGCCAGACTGGACATCACTATCCACGGCTATACCTTGAAAGCTCATCTCACTAAAAATGTAAGAGAATTTTCCTCTTGCATTTTCCTTGCCTGGATGGTGATTGAGATGGTTGAGGTTATTTCGAGATACAGCGAAGCTGTCACAGTAGTTCATCTCTTGTCTAATTGCTATACTTGATTGATTGTGCAGGTTCTTTGGGATGCCAAGCGGTCAGAGAGAGGACCGGAGGGCTGGGCAAAGGTTCTTCCACTTCCTACTCACTGGTACGTCTACTCTCTGGGATCCAGAATCGAATATGACTTTTCGGGGCCAGGAGGATCTTTGAAGAGGAAGGGCGTTGGTCTGGGCCATTCAGAGAAAAACTGGGGGATAAGGTTCCCTGATGGACATGTCTGGTTCCAAGGCTTTTCTGCAGACAACTCCGCTCAGGTGACTAAAATTCTCTCACCTGACTCATAGACTGACGTGAAGTCGTGATTTAAGAGCGTTTCACAAGCCCATTAGCACTCCGATACCATTTGAGGTGTACTGCATGAGTTGATTACAGTTCAGTTTGACTTGAAGCATTATTACGATAAACAGCAATCAGTACTCGAGCATAGGAAATCCAGTTCAGATCAATTGATGGGTTTGCCCTACATCTTTGTAACCGTTCGTCAGTTCTCGCTGTCTGCCCGATGTAGCTCAAGAGGTTTAACTTGCATCGTAGCTATTAGAGCCCTACTCCTTTTTTGTTTGTTTGAAGGGCCTGCAAACTTGGACATTTTCCTCTTCTATTCTGTAAGATGGCATTTTCACTTCATCTTCAATTCCCCAGACTTTGGGGAATATAACATTATTTGATGCCGTTCGCCGAGTCTTCATGTGTCTGAAGTGTGTCTTCTCATCGTCGAACGTCAGATTCTCGGATCTATAGCATACTACAAGCTTGGAGGCGTGAAGACACCATATGTGGGGGCAATGGGATACAGATCTCAAGCTGTCAGCTTTGACATGCGATCGGTTGACATCGGGACATACTTCACAGATGTTCGAATGTCGTATCGGAATGCTGATTTTACGGTCACAGGGGTCTCAGCCTCTCACACGATTAAGGTGAGATAGTACTTGATTGGTGACTGTAGTATCCATTCGAGTGTCATGTATCTCGCTTGTACTGTATGGAAGTGATCACACCGGCTGTCGGTTGCGCTGGACCTACATGTTCACCTTTTTGTCACTGTCCTGTGCAGATACACGCGAAGGCGGACTTCGAGACGTTGTCGGAGCCAATTCTAGCTCCCGTGACAAAAGTGAAATGGGATTTTGCTTGTAGAGAGACTTTCTTCGCCACTGTCTCTGTGGAGGTATTCGAGCATGGACTTTGGGGACTAATAGGAGACAAGAGGCTCGTTGAGAAGAGGACATTCGACCATGCCGCATTTGAATTTGGAGAGGACTTATTGAAGACATAGACAATTCTAAAAATTCCACGTCCACTTGTACATAGTCAAATGAAGGAGAAACCAAGCTGTGGAGGGTGTGGGTCAGGACTAGGTTGTACAGCATCGTGTATATACTTCAAATAAAATGAGTCCGAGTGAAGTTCAGTATGTTACCCAATCACCTGTGATATAAAGGGACGTGTCTTACTGTTGAGTAGATTTCCCCAGTGCCATACTTCAACAATGCCTTAGGACCTGAAGTGCCAACTCATGGCAGGTTGCTTGCCTGTTCTAAAATGACCAGTTCTTGAACCTGGATCATGAGCGTTCACGAACCTAGCCGCGTGAGTTGCATCCGTGAATACCCAATAAGCAATGATAATGACGTTTGGATCGTATTTGAGACATGCCCTGAATGTTATCATTCATCTTCACTCTATATTGTTGTTCATATCGTGCGTTTAATAGTGTCCTGATTAAAGGGTAATATCCATCCAACATGCGCGATAACTCAACAACACGAACGGCATACGATAAGTTAACACAACGCAGAAAAGTTTATGCTTCACAAAAGAATGTGCGCAAATGCACATTTCAACTAGTGCCTACCGGCAGAAGCTGAAATGCGATTCCCTTGCTTTCGGGAATACTCGCAAAACTTTAATACACGTCCATCCAAGCCTTCTGAGTGCTTGAATGATGTGATACAGCTGTTGACTAGACTACCATAGGGTCGGTAATCTGCAAAGTATGATATTGAACTCCAACAACAGTCCGAGTTCTTGCACATAGTTCACATTGCCTCACAATTTCTTAAAATTTGCCCTTGTCCCATGGTCGAGAAGCTAAGCACCGTGTATAACCACTCCGGCACATAATTGCCCGTCGAATTCTGCTGTCTCGAGAAGGTACGAGGTTTACTTGACAGGCAATCATGAAGCGCTCACGCTAACACTCGTGACCGCCGTTTTTACTCGATGTGTGCACCATCGAACTCTCCCTCCAACAGTTCGGAACCGCTAGCAACCTCACGGAAGCTCATCTCAGCCACCGATACTTCACAACAGCCATGAGCTTGTCACACGCTTGGCCAGCCCAACCATCTACTGGACAAGGTGCTTGCACTCCAACACGCCTGCATCAACGGAAGCTCAAGTTGAGTGGCCTACAACGAAGTGGTGTTACACCACCTTCAGTCCGGAGGAATGCAACTTCCCAAATCATATACAGAACAAAGAGCAGGACTCGAGAGGCGAGACAGGGCAAGGCAAGGAGATGACTTACAAGAACTCGTGAAGCAATACAACAGGACACCACCACTCCTACCATATGTCTTAACGTTACGTTCATACTCAGCATTTCCATTTCCGTCCTGGAGCACGGAAGCTCGCCATCATCCAGCAACTCATTCTGCCACGTCGCGTGCCTGCTGCATCTCCCTCCCTCGATCCAAACCGCAATGCCGTGTATCTAGTCAGAAGGCACCAATTATTGATTACATCCACTTACTCGCACACTTGTGACCGTCGTGCCTATGTTGAGCAGTGTTGATCAGATTGTCCGAGTAAATTCGCACAGGCCAACCCAGAACCTGCACAAGTCATCTCGCCTCACTTGAGAAACTGATCAGGCCATCTATGAGAACGTGGTTCTCGTTCGACAACCGCAGGTGGCTCTCAGAAGGGAAGTGGAAACAAGGGGAACACGTCCTTTGACGACCTTCTCTGCTCTAGTCGGAGATGTGTGGGGACACACGCACTAAGAGCTAAACTTCGATGCAATGCATCCCCCGGTTTGAAAAGCGTAGATTGGATCCTGGGTAGTTTCTAGACAGAAGCATAATACAATCGGTGGCAAACCCATAGCTCCTCGACGCTTCAAATACAGAGGCTGACCATCAGTTCAAGTAGCATGCCAGAGACAACCTAGCTGTGTGCAAGAGGTGCTGGTCTTCTTGACTTTGTCTCGTCTGCGACATTTCTGTATTGATAGAAGTATAAGAGCAGCTCTCGAAGTGGAAGAGCTTCGGCCGTTACAGAGTCGCTATTCATGGAAGTCTTCATAGGTTGAAGAAGCATCTGAATGGTCACCCTCTGCATGCTGGGGTGAGGAAGAGGAAGATGACGGGGACGGCAAGCCGAAAACACCTCTCTGCCCAGAAGAAGTGCGCAGCTTCCGAGAATGGCGTTGGAGAAGCCGCTTGGTTTTATTGTCTAAGTTCTCAAAATCCTGGGTTGATGTTATGGTCTCTAAATCTTGTCCACTCATATAACCGACTGACTCAGTGCTGGTTCTTAAATCCGTTGTCAACTTTTTCAGAACTAGATTTTTTGCTTTACGCCGCTGAGAATTGAATAGCCCTCGGATGGAAGATACAAATCCTTCCCCAGCTCGGTCACTATACTTCCTAAACCGAACTATGGGGAACTGATCGTCGTGTCCTGCTTGGCTTGTGCTCGAATCGCTATCACTAGAATTTTCCCCGCCTTCGGTGCCATCAATGTGGCTCGGTGCTGGCAACTTGTCTTTGAACTTCTTCCCTTGCATGCCCGTGACAGATTTCAGCACGCTCCAGATGATGTGCTTCTTGACCTTGGAGAACAACCTACGCCAGGAACCCGAAAACCTCTCGCGTGTGAAGGTGTCCATCAGAAGACGCATGTCACCTACAGAGAAACGCGATCCTTCATACGTTACCAGCAACTCTACCTGACTTATTTTGATGTTGTGGAACTCCAGGACACTTTTATGAGTTCGCGTGACCTTCTTCTCCTCTGTGACCTTCTTCTCCTCCTGCACTACGACTTTACTGCCCTTCTTCGTCTTTTGCTCCCTAATCTTCACCGTCTCCACAGTCGTGGTGGTGGTGGAATTGACAGCTGGATTGTTGTAGTCATCAGGAAAAGTGAACTGCAGAGAAGACGCAGAGGCTCGAACCGATGTTCCCGCAGCGACAGTCATGTTCCTGGATGTGCCGTCGTCCATGAGAGATTCATAGTCATCTCTCGAAACGAGTCGACTGTCTCTGCTGCCCCCACTGTTGGTGGTCATGGTGAGACTCAATTTTTGATGCTGCGTCCGTACCGACTGGCGCTGCACTTCATGCTCCTCTTCCGGGAAAAGGTACTCCCACATCATTTTGTACATCGACTCCGTCAGGTGAATCTTCAAGGGGTATATTTCGACCACAAAGAGTTCGAGAGGAGAATGCCCATCCTTGGGAGCCCCTTGTCTCGCATCCACTCGGAGCATGACGTTTCTGCCCCACTCGTCTCCGGCAGGAGGATTCCAGGGCGACAATATCATGCTGGACTTGGCGCCCGGCAAGCAATTCTTAACGACGAACGATTTCGTTGTAAATTTAGCGACGCCAATGTCTTCAAAATCCCTGTCGACCTTCAAGATCATAGAGTCGATTTCTGCCTCTGCAAACGATTCTCCATCGCAAAGCATGTTCCAACCGAACTTGTCGATGGTCCAGGAGATCCGCATTGCTGCTAATGGACTTCTGTTCTTTTCTTTCTCCGCAAGACGCTGCTGTGCGGCTCTCTTGAGGGCAGCCCTTAACAATACAGATGCGGCTTTGCGAGCTGTGCACTTTATCATAAATTCCCTCTTCAGGGTCTGTATCTCAGTGCTTTCAGTGAAGTGCCCAAGACGTCTTAACAAACCACAATGGTTCAATATTTCCTGACATTCCCTCTCCGCTTGCTCCAGCTTAATCCGAGCAATCTCCACTTCTTCCACTCCTTCTGGAACGACTTCGTCAACTTCCTCTTCTCCGTCCTCCTCCGTGGCGACCTCTCCACTCACTTGATGCACTGACGATCGCTTTCGAGGCTTAGGGAGTCTTGCAAGAAGAAGATTGCTGATGACATCCATCATGATGTGAAACTGATTTGAGGTCATTGTGGCAGTAATGCCGGAAGAGTTGAAGGAGAGCTCCTTGAGAGGTTTTACCTTACAGTCTGTCGTTCCTCCCTTGTGACGAGTGTACTGGAAGTACATATCGCAAGGAGTGAAGACACGCTCCAGTAGTGTTCCCGTTCGCCGAACCTTAGGGGCCCTATTCAAGTCACCCGTAGGAACTTTAGGGAGCCACTGGAGACCGGCTCCGAGGTCAACATCTGTTGGAGCGACATGCGCTTGCACCTGTTCCAACATGACCGACAGTTCACGACGCTTCCAAGCAATCACAGGCGTTCCTCCTTGTGGACTGATGACAACCCCTTGTTTGGCCAGAGCATTTGCGATGGCCTCCTGGGCCACAGCTACGATCGAGTGGAAGGACTGTGCCAGCACCTTCCCATTCGCAGCCGCGAGAAGCAACCTGCCATGGGCATCCTCTGAGTCGAGATTGAATTGAGGCTGAACGACGTTAACCATGAAGTGCATAACACCCTCCTCCTCCGTAGTGTCAGCTGATTGCTCTACGACCGCCACGGCCGGTTTTGCACAAGCTTCGGATGACACGTTCTCTTTCAATTCCCTCAGTTTCCGTTGGGCAGCTTGCCTTGAAGGTGATGGCTTCGGGGTTTCGAAGGCCCGTGCTAAATCCCCAGACCACGCCCACACCGCATCTCTGTTGGGCAAAGTCCACAGCAGCTTCAAACCATATACAAATACACGGAGACAATTGTCTGCAGAGACCAAACCGTCATCATCACTTGCATCTGACCGAGCTGGATCGCTCCCATTGCCAGCGCTTTCACTGATGTAAACAAGCGCCTTATCACTTCGAGACAGTCTCTTATAATGTAGCAGTGCAGAGAGCTGAGATACATCGGCCTTCGGTGCCTGCTTCCGCAAGGTGAGGGAATCTATGGACAACAGAAACCCCTTACCGCTCACAGTCTCGCTTGCCCCTTTACTGTCATTGCCCGAGTCACCAAGAAAGTCCTCTTGCAGCCCCAAGAGTTCTTTAACTTTGTCCTCCCTGTCATATTCTTCTCCACTATCCCGGTGCTTGTGCGCAGAGGCGGAGGTTCTGTCGAGCACGGCATTGAGCACAGTGATATCCAAGCCCTGATACACGGCCAGAAGAGGTTCACGAGGTCCGTAGCTGTCGAAGAAACTTTGACAACGACTGTACAGGAGTTCGTATCTCAGCTTCTTCATACTGAACGTCAGACCGTGCGCTGGGTCCCCATCATCCAGCTGCGATATATGCTTGATGCACCCTGGCGTCGCCTCAACTCTGAGCAGGTACTCAGTCATCACCTTGTCCAGGGATAAATTCCCTGAACGTGGGATTCGGGGTATCCCGTATCTGGGCCACCTTGAAAACGTCCGAATTTTTTGCGGCGGCAGGTACAGCAGATTCCAGAGTTTGAAAATCCAAGCGAGCTCGTCAGAGCCGAAGTACAGCGTTGGATATGTGCCCTGCTTTCCAAGGAAAGACCCATCTGACTGCACTGAAGGTTTGAAGCCACCCAATATCTGACCCGGACGAATCCTGTCACCGGTGAGAGAGGACTTGCCCTTCATACACATCATGCGCTGTAACGACTGACCAGACTTCCCAATGGCGTTAGTTACGGGAGCAGTAAGCAAGGAAAATGCAAAGGTTAACGATAGAGAGGTCGATCTGTACAAGTCGAAACGTTTGGTGGGTGGGTTGGGATCCTGAGGGAACGGATGAAGGTAATGCTGGAACGGATTTCCCGACTCACAACCCCATACCATCAAAATCTCCGTCTTGAATCCGGGAGAATGTAGGACACAAAACTTGTCTCGTACATTCGATGGAGGGGACTGGAATCCGGATGTACCTTGCATCATCCACCACGTGAATTCTCCAGCAGTTAGAACCACGCTTCCTTCAGACTGTTCTATATCCAAGTTGGCCGCGACCAGATCCAGGATATCTTGATCCTCGTAAGGGTCCGAGGACGCTTGCAAGGTCCACTTGAAGTTCTTGATCTTCAGGGTGTTGTTCCCGTGTATATAGTACCTCATATCATCCCACCACGGTAAACTACGCTCTTTCTTGACCACAGGAATGGCACTCTTGGCCTTGGCGAGGGCCGCACTAAAAGCATAACTCAAGTCCGCAAAAAGCGGTTCATATCCAACCCCATAAGAAAATTCACCTGCATCAGCCTGTATGACTAGATCGGTGAAAGTCTTGAATGCCGGGGTGGCACCACTTATCGATCTCCACACCTCTACAACCCGGAGTTGCCCGAGAGGAACTTCCATCCTATATTGAGGAGGAAAAGCGGTAGCTTGTTGGGCTACAACGACATCCCCTTCCGCATCCAGAAAGCCTGTGCTTACCAGAGGCAATGTGTAGTCTCGAAGATTCACCACCAACGAAGAAGCCTGGAGATTCAAATGCCTACCATAGCATTTGGCGTAAGGGATCTGCATCTCCGGACCAACACAATCGAGCTTTCTCGCTGTTTCGATTGTGCTTCCCTTGATCAAGGTCAAGTTGACTTCCACATGAGTGGCTTTCGCCGAGAGTAGTGATCTGCGCTTCTTACTCATTCGAAAACCAGCCTGCGGGTGGCCCTTCCAAGCTTCGGAAACCTCTTCCAGAACCAAGCTTTCACAGGCTTTCCGGTAAGACCTAAACGTTTCCTTCTGCAGATTTTCCCTCTCGGTTTCAAGCGCTTTCAACGCAGCAGCGACTGTCTCGGAGCTTTGTTGTACATGAGAATCACCAGTGTTTTTGGTGGTGTCCTCGTATTTTTCTTCCAGCAGCTTCTCTCTGACGAGGAGTTCGCAGACTTCTTTCTTCATCAGGTGGTAATGCTCATCCAGCCAACCCTGAATCGGTTCTTCTTCTATTTCAAAGTTCAGCTCATCGACCGAAACCAAAACCAGCTGAATTTGTGAGGAAGACGACGACTGTTTCTTCTTTGGCTGACTAACAGCTGCACCCTGTGAACTCCACCTGCTCTTCTGCATTCTCATCACGATCCTCAAAACTCTCTCCATGTCCTCGGCTGCGTAATCCAGAGCCATGAATCCCAATTTGTAAGGCATAAATATATGAACTGCCCTCGCCTGAACGACTAACTTCCAGTCTCTTCTAACTTGGCCATTCCAACTCAGTGGTGCACTTTCCTCCAATGAGATCCAAGGCAATCTGCAAAACTGCCCGTGCTCAACACGAAAGACCTGAGCTTTATTGGCTATCACGACTATTTGCTCGGCAAGAAACCCTATCTCTACATCCTCTGATACAAAATACTGGACATGCAAGCTGAAGACGGCATCTTCAGCAGCCTTGACATTCAAATTCAGCTTTTCCAAATCTACAGCAATCCTGAGCTTCTGCTTGGGTTTGGCAGCTTTTGATGGACCAGGAGTGCTTTCATCCTTCTCGCTCGATTTGAGAACTCCATCCTCCGCACCATTGGCTTCCTTCGATTTCCCACTCAAGCCTTTTCCAAGCATTGTCAGTTGCAAAGCAATATCGTGGTAGAACAGATGCACATCGGGATTCCAATGTCCATTCAGAGTTTTCAGACTAAGAAGCAAACGTGCTGGTGAGCCTGATACAGTGTCACCTCCTTCATACAAAACCCTCGCAGCCTCTAGGAGAAATAATGAAGTCTTCAAAATGACGAATCCTTCGCTATCAAGGTCTTTGTGGTGCAGCTCAGCACGATCGATGAGGACTTGCACGTCTTTCTTCTCGTTGTCTGAGGACACGAGACCTGAAGCAATCTCGAACGTCGCTCTGCCAAAAAAATCACCCTTCCGAGATGTGTAGGACTCAGTGGCCCTGACGTTGGCAGAACGTAGGCTTCCATCCTCGGCTTGCGAAATGACAACTCTGCCTCCCTGATCTCCATAATTTACAGTCTTCGGATCCGGAACATCACCTTCTTCCACCACAACAGGCCCCACGAACTGCACGGACAAACCTCGCACGCCAAACTCCGTCTTCATCCAGGCCTTCTTCTTTTTCAAAGAGCTGGTGCTGGCAGTCTTCGGTGCACTCTTTGGCTTTTCCCCGATAACACTTTTCATGTAAGCTTTGGCATCCAAGGCTGCTGCGAGAACGGATTTTATCCGAATGGCACTCAGGAGCACTACAATATCGCTCAGTTCCACGATCAACACATTGCAGGTCCTCACGTCGTTCTCTTCCTCGACGCGCAATTCACTCTTTCCCCACTCTATAACTAAAGTTCCCAGACGGAAGAACTGGGTGGGAGTAACTTCTCCCGATAATCTACTTCTATCATCTACTTCCTCGACACTCAAAACTTCTAACTCCCAAAGTTCTACCTGCATCCTAGTAGCTGGTCCTGAAACATTGTCTACAAACAACTGCAACGACTGGGAGCAGATCTTGTGCTTCGTTGCACCTTCTTGGTCGATGGCAGAGACAACTATATCTGGGACGGAGACCGTACAGACCCAGCATAGCTTGGATTTGCGCTTCTTCTTCGTCGGCGGCGGAGAAGGCTCAATACCTGCACCATCGGGCTTAGGCTTGGAGGCCTTCTTAGGCAGACGCAGGACAAGCTTGAGAATTTCATCCACAGACTGGTAGTGCAAGTTGCACCGAGTTCCTTCCAAACTTGCATCGACCTTCACCCGTGGACTAAAGTTGGCCGTGATCTGCATCTCCACAATAGCCACGACTGAGACCCTTGCGATACGGAAAAGGCTCCATTCGGGCTCTTCCAACACGCAGATTTCTCCGCATTCCAATAAGGTGTCCCAGATTGCAAAGACTTGATCAGCTTCGCCCGCAGACTTGGTAATTCGAGTCCGCAGTGCTATCCCTGTGATCTTGTTCCTCATGACCGGGCCTTCGTCTCTTTGACTAAAATTGAGACTGAAGACGGGCCAGGTGAAGAGGATTTTCTCTGGCAGCAAACCAGGACCCTTTCTTGCCCTGGTCGCTGGCGGAATTCCTTCCGGAGCTACATTGCCGTTCCCGGGATGTTGTTCCACCTCGGGAGGTTGTTCCCTCGTCGGCTCTGGTTGCACGATCACCCCGGGCTGCTTCTTGGAGCCCAATTTGGCCATGAGGCCGTTCTCGCCGAAAAGCAATTCCTCGGTCAAATTGAGCGCAGCATCTCCCAAACTCACCTCGACCTGCTGAATCACCATTCCCGACTCCTTGCCAAAATCCAAATTACTGGTCACTGTCAAGTGCTCCAGGGACAAAAGGACGGAGTCCCTGTTCACGCCCATGGTCGGTTGTTGGCCGTAGATAAGATCGAGCACCTCGTTGTCGAAATGCAAGTCTCGAACATGGGCCTGGATGGGCGCTATGACCAGCCTGACTCCGAGGGTATCCTCGGGGCAATTCTCGAGATCAAAGGCGTCCAGGTCCATGTTGTTGACCTCCAGCGATGCATTGGGTATCTCCACACTCCGGACCACGAAGTCCGCCACGACAATGCTGCAGTATCTACCGATCTTCGCAACGATCGGCCAATATTTGAAAGGCGAAGAGCTCTTACCAGTGCGATCGCGTGCCTTTTTGGGTCTCGAGCTCCTTCGCTTCGGGGACTTGATAGGTTTCTGCACAAGAACCTCGACATCCAGAATACTGAGCTGTAACTTGGGCTCACTCTGTCCATAGTGTATGCCCAACCACGCGAATGGATAGAGTAGCTGCAGATTGATGTCGGCGATCGAAATCGACGCCACCGAACCCCTGGTAAATTGGATACTGAGATCCTTCACGCAGAACAGTCCCTCGAACTCAAAGCTGACATTGGCCTTGAGGGCCCTGCCCACCAGCCACGCCAACCCTTTGGCAGCGAAGTTAAAAAGTAGCCATCCAGTTGAAGTGAGCGCCAACAAACACCATAGCAAAAAATGTGGCGAACTGGCCATATACAACGGCAACCTTCGGATTGCTCGAGCGAGTGAAACACCGAGCGATCGCGGAACGACGGGATGTCGAAGAAGTCACGCAATCGCTCGAACAGAGCCTGTTCTCGGGCAGAATTACAGCCCGCATTCGTCTTTTCAGATTCCACCCCGTGTCCTCCGTTGGTCATCAAGGCCTGCACACGCTCACTCACTCCTAACACGTTCAGCAGACGTGAAATCCAGATATGGCGACTTCTTTGTCGCGGATCTCAAAATCCGACCGACTGGCGAGGAAGAGACACATGCGATCCACCCAAGCTCTCTCTTCTCACCTTGACATCTGAAGGCTCAACATTCCTTAAACAGCTCCTTCCTCTCGAGGCCAGCGAGTAGATCGAGCAATCATGGGAAATGCTGACCACTTCAAGTGTAATGCGGTTGAAGTCGTCTAAATTGCTGTTATGATATCCTGATTGAAATGTTCGAATCCATCTGCGAATCCCCTTCTAAAGTATCAATACACCCGGCCATTTTTTTTTCAGCGACGATTACGTTTAATAAGTGGGCATAAACTAAGTGATTGAATATTTCCAAGAACGGGAGCAATTCCTTCTTTGATTCGTATCAGAACGACTCCCTGGGATACACGGATAGATAAATTTCGCAGCATTACACCTTCAACACCAAAGACAAATAAACTCGGTTAAAATACCTGAAGTTCCGCGAAATTCATGACCTCCAGTCTAGGTCAGCGCGGCGATCTGTTCAGAGTTTTCACGCAAGTCTCTGTAGAGTTTATGCTCAGGCGGATTTTTTTTTCACCGGATCCCGGAAATTCATGTGCTCTGAGCTCAGCACATGAAGCTCCTCTGGTCAATCTAGGTCACAACATTGGCAAAATTGTTCGAGGACAGCTTGCACATCACTGCTGTGACACACGTGCGAGCTTCTCTCAGCTCAAGGCAATGTAGATTGACAACTTCCGGAATTATTATGAACGAGCTTCAACCGGTTCACATATCCAATCTAGGTTAATATAAACCCCATCCCCTGTAATGAAGCTCAGAAAACCTCGCTTCCCCGATCCAGGTCCACAATGTCACAGAAGCACTCAGTCTCTGCATCAATTCAAGCTCGACTTCAAGCTAGTCCACTCTTCCTCCTCCGCTCTTCCCTGCTGCAAAGAAATCAATCACGTCAAATTCCTCTCCTCTCATCCACGCTTCCACCCCAATACGCCCCTGCTCTACGCCTCAATGCCAACTTTAAACCTCGCCGAAGGATCCAGCAAACGCTGAGAAACGGCCCCCCCGGAACTCCCAATTTTTCAGCTTCCACGCACAAGAACGTAAACCCATCTTTCCATCACTCGATCAATCGACCAAACGAGAAATCCAACAAAAGCCCAGAGATTACAAATTCCAACGAGTAGCCCCCATCGGGAGACGAGATCACGGAAACAGAGAGCAGAAGCAAGTCCCACCTCGAAGGAATTCTGCTCGCCAGCAAGGGTCAATCGCGCCGAGCGAGATGGCAGGCAGGGGAAGGAGATGATCGAGCGGGGGCACGGGGAATTGCGGAGCCGGACAGCCTCGCAGCAATCGAGCCAGCAAAGAGGGGCAGAGAAAGAGAGCTGGAGGATGGGACAGGGGACGAGGAGAGGAGAGGAAGAAGAGAGGGGAGAAGGAGGGAGGAGGGAGGAAGGAGGAAGGGAGGGGAGGGAGACGGGGATCGAGGAGAGGAGGAGCCGGAGCAAGGAAGAGAAGACCGAGAGACCATGACAAGAAAGCTTTTGTTCTTCTGTGGACACTGACCTCGAATCAGACACCGAATTTAGCCTCAACCTCTCGGGCACCATCACCATCACCAGCACAGCACTCGCGGCCATGCCGCCGAACATCGCGCGCTGGCGCTTCCGAAGCCGGCCGCCGGCATCGCTGCTGCTGCTGCCGCTCCTCCTCCGCCTCCTCCTCCTCCAGAAAATGATCGCCTCCATGGCACCAACGCGCCCGACGAATCATCGAACTCACCTCGCCCGCTGCGACGCTGACTGGCTCGATGCCCCGCCCCGCCATCGCAAGAAGACAGCCGCGCGACTCGAGAAAGCGCAAGACCGACCGCGCCCGCCAGCGCCAGGCCCCTCGCCGCAGATGCTGCTGGCCCTGACACCCACCCGCGCCGCGGCCCCGCCTGCCCTCCCGCAAAGACCGTGCGTGCCTCCCTCCCTCCCTCGTCGCTTCGTTCTCCGTCTCGGTCTCTCGCTCGGTTCATCGCTCGGTTCGGCTGCAGTCGCTGTCGCGTCCTGCTGGACGGGACGGGATGGGACGGGGCGGGTCCTGGCGTTGGTCGCTCCGCCTTCCTGCCCGCCTGCTTGCCTGCCTGTCCATCTGTCTGTCTATGTGTCGTGGCTACAGAGCGCCTGCCGCACCATCGTCTGCTGCAGATGCTGCTTCTGCCGCAACGTGATGCCGCATGGACTCGCGCGCGGGCGGGCGGGTATGCCGCGCGGGCGCTGCCTCCGTGGGCTTGCTCGAATATAAATGCGAGGGCCTCATCTTGCGCGCTCGAGCTTCGCTTTTGCAACAAAGGGCCTGCGGGAAAGGGAATGTTTTTTATTGAATAGTGCGGTGCCCTCTTCCTCGCTCTCGCTCGCTGCCTCGCCCTCGCCATCGCCTTCGATTGCTGTCGATTTGGCTCTTCTCCTTCTCCCTCTGCTTTTTTTTGCTTCTTTTTTTTGTTCTTTTCTTCTTCTTTTTTATTAGTGTCTCGGTGGAGAGCGCGAGGCTCTGGGTACGAGGAAAACATCGAAATTCTGAGGCCAGGATCATCGTACAGTTGTCGCGTTCAGGCTTTCTCCTTCCTTCTGGCCGATTGGTAGAGAAAGTGGTAATTGCCGGCCTTTCGCCGCCTTTCGATGGCGTGGAAATTGTTCTTCTCGGGCTCTTCGTCCGTGATGAGGACTTCTCTCGCTCATTCTTTCGTTCGTCTCTTCATTTTCCTCGTCGGCGTGTCCTCTAGGAAAGCCGAAAAGGGGTCTCTCATGCCAATGGATGCATGCAAGCATGCATGGTAAGCAGACCGAATCGTTTTTTGGTTTATCTTAAAGATAACGACCAACCAATCTACCTCTTTCCAGTGGAAGCGAATGTGTTTCTGGGCTGCTGCAGTGGTGAAGGTAAGGGCATCTCGCAGCAGCGGATACCACAGAAGTTCTGGCGACTTGATTTTGTGAACAGAGGTTTGTAGTAAGTGCGTTCGAGGCAGGTCGCTTCTGTGGGTTTCAGGAATTTTGACTTTCTAGACGCAGCCGCATTTGACTATGGAATGAAGATTGGTAAAACAGAATGGGGGGAGGGGAGGAAGGGAAGCGTCTCCTAGTACTTACATAATCACGGACATTCACTAGACTGCAAGGACGGGATGTAGAACATGCTTTCGTTCGTTTCGATCTCATCTGCGCCTGGCCTGCCCTGCCCTGCCCTGCCTTGACTTGCCTTTTATTTTGGACAATAGTCCAGAATCGGCGTCACCAGTCAAATGCAGAGAAGGAAAAGGTTCTCTTGACCCTCAAACTGAATTGGATCTCACAGAATGAATGAGTGCTGCCGCTCTCTCCTCTGCTGTGCTGGCATCTTTGGCACTGTTCAAGCTTCCCTTCGCTTCCCTTCCCTTGGTTACGTGGAAATTCTTTTCTTTGTTTCCCGTACCCTCAACTTTCCAAGTATTTCACCTAAATGACATCCCCAGGTGTATGTTTTGCCGTCCTCGATTCCCAACATTTTTATGGACTGGAAAACCTAACGCAAGCAACCTTCATCAATGCAAAGTTCAAACAATGGGCACCATCACGAACAACTGTCTTAGTGTTGTCGAGAAAAGGTTCTACTCAAACTAATGTAAGTGCGCTACAGTAGGACACATTTGACTACTATTCAAACAATGCATTCACTGGTGGACATTTTACAGTCCCTCCTAGGATTCTCACATGACTAAACTTAACTAAAAGCATTGTCGGGCGTACTAGAGCTCAAATAGATGAATTAGATGGCTGTCAACTTCATGAGATATTGTGTGCAAAATGTGTGGCGAGATGAAGATATAAGACCACTATTTGATATCATTCTGTAAATTCTTTAAAGTCTATAATGCCTAACATATATATATATATATATATATATCTTACTTACAACAATACCCACCCACCTACCGAAGGCATTTGAATGCTCCTTCGAAGAGAAACTCGCGGTTGACTTCAAACAAAATGTTGTGTTTTAGAGACAGTTTATAATCTATCACGTTTGATGGGTTATTGCCTCTCGCGAGTAATCCACAGTAATCACCTTGCAGCTTTTTGTCGTGTTTCTCTTTCCATCTGCTGTAATAATAAGCTGAACTTAGCATTGTACGTCTTCCCTTTGTTGTGACATTAGGGGCTAATTCCCGATGGTCCTTTCCGCTATCCGTTGACGCAGAATTGCACGTCGGGCTCCATCCACGAGACGCATCACTTTCCTGATCTGGATACTTAAAATACCCTTCCGTAGTACGATGGCATGAGATTGCGTATCCCTGGCATGTTGTTAACGCTGGTACACTTTGAATAAAGTTTAAGCAACTTATATTTGGAAATCAGGTTCAATCACACTGAGATTTCGTCAAGGATTATCAAGATATCATTGCAATCCTTGTAGACGATCAATACCCTTATGGACGGTTACAACAAAGTATAGTGTTATATTATTTTATGTTGTGGAAGTATATGAAACTATTTATACCAAGTTCCGTATGTTCATGACACAGTTCCTGAGAGACTACCATAGTAAGGTACACAGAAAATATTTTAAGAAATATTTTTTTTATATTCATTGAGTAAATTGGTGACTAGTTTACACCTTTCATAACCAAGTACTCAGGGTAGTTAATCACGCGATGATTATCTATTAATCTATGTATTAGATAGAGTACTTAAAAGTTACTAATCCTGAAATATCATAAGTGTTATGACATTTTTTTACTGTGATGTGATTTGGGCCTTAATGTCATCTTTTTAATTTTATTTAATCCGTGTAAGGTTCGATGGTGTATCACCATCCTTTTGTATGTTTAGTTTTACTTCACTAATGTGAGAGCCATAGGTTCCAAGCAAGATGGCAAGGACAGTCAACTGTATGAAGAAAGTGTATCATATGCCATCAGCAACAGTTGAATGCTCAATTTTAAGGTTGCACTTAAACCTACTCGTTCCACCGCTGTCAATTGTGCACTCTCACATCACTCTGACGTCATGTGCACCCATATGTCTGCATCTTCTGTGGCGAGATTACATACGATTCTATATTCATGCAACCACGTCATGATGATCGAAGCGAAAATATAATTTTCTTCGAGGCCAAAATAAGGTTTTTACCCAGAATTCGTTCGCTCAACAAGGTAGAACTCACCTTGCTTCCACGAAAGTCTGACTAAATTCTATGGATTGTCAAAAAAATAAGGTTTTTACCCAGAATTCGTTCGCTCAACAAGGTAGAACTCACCTTGCTTCCACGAAAGTCTGACTAAATTCTATGGATTGTCAAAAAAACATAGATTTTGAAATCTTTGCATCTGGCAGCGATCCGGTCTTACAGTTAAAAATGGGTTATTTTACTATAAGTTTCGGGGTGCTTACCCAGTTGAAGATCAATAAAAGGCACGTCATAAATCTACTATGTCATTACACCATTAGCTTCTATTTGTTTGGTAGCACAGTGAGTGATTACCGAACTGTTACAACAATTCGTGCTTATCACTGCACGGAAAATCCTAACCTGACACAATTAAACGAACTGCTCCAAAAGCAAAGCAAATTCAAACTCATTCATTCACTTGAAAGCTGTGAATCTCCGATTGTGCGCAGACGAGCTCAATAAACAAGCAGCAGCAGCAGCTTCTTCGAACGAGTACAAACCTCGGACCAAACCTCCTCCTGAGATCTTCTATACACGTCCCTCGACGAAGATCCATATCGGTGCCGGGAATTCGCGCAGTTGGATGATGGTTGTATGTCCCCCTCTCGCTCGATGCGCGATTCGAAGTCACAGTATGGTACCCGCTTTGTTTCAAGAGCCACCGAGTCAATCGATGGGATTAGGATTGCGAGTTATAATACGATGGATGTACAGGAATTGTGTTTCATTTAATGATAAGATCAATCATCTGAAGTGTTTAAATGTATGAATGGAGGATTTAAAAATCTGAGAATTCGACTGTTTGGCTGAAATTGAAATCATTTTAGATAATGCTAGGGATCGTGGTCATAGGGTTGGTTGTTGTATAGTATAGAAATAACTTCAAAAGATTCTGAAAACGATGTATTGCAGATAATACCCTTGGGTTGGATTATATGGTTATTTGATCAAGTCAGTATCACAGATCAGGTAAATTAGGTATCTTGGATTAAGAGAAGAGAAATTTTTGAGATGGCAACTTTAATATACATAAATAAATAACATACAATAATCAACAGATGATTTGAAGTATCTGAAGTGTATCGAAATAAAACTAACATACAAACACTTCAAAAAAAAAAGGTTGTACATTAAAAAAAATTCCAAGAAATCGAAAGATTTCATAAAGCTAAAAAACCAACCGAATTCGAAACGCAAAAATGTTTGGATGGATGTCAAGGAAATTGTAGATACCAAAACTGGATCAGATTCTAAAACAAAAATTACCAATTGTGGAACGTTACTGTCCATGACTATGACTAATACTTTCTGTGATGTTATACTAACGTGTCCATGTGCATATATTTCAGAATGACACACGTCATGACTTTATCATGAGATCTGTCATGCACAGATATTAACGTAATTGGGCATACATTGTGCTAAATAATAAAACTCATCGCTTTTCAAACCTTCACATTTGTGTATCTTAAGCTTACGCTTAGTTCTGCATCTCTTCTAGAAGGACGTATAATATCATTTTCATGACATTTAAGACAATTATCTTCTTTGTGTCATTATGTTCGCCAACATGATTTCGTCGTATCAAATATAGTCTGGGACGTGTCAATGTGTGCATTTTTCTCTCCAACTCGAGTGTTCAAAAGAGAAGGAACGAAGATCATCTCTAAAAGCTTCATGCCTGGGTATCGTTGGATGCGGCTTACTTTGATTTTCAAAAGAACAACACACCAAATCTGCAATTCCAATGGTGCAAGGAAGGTTTGCATAAGAGGTAGCACCCTCACAGCCGCGGAAGATCTCGTCCAAATTCTACATCTAGATCTGCATCTACACTTCTCCATTCTCAAAATATAAATATCCCAATAAACCTTCCCATTCTGACTGGAAATGACAATAGAATTGTCATTTGCAGTCGGAATTTTCAGTCAACTGACGAGAATATTGCAATTTGCGATTGTTTTTGGTTCGTGTTAGATTACTACTGGCTTTCACTTCTGAAGAGTAATGGGCATGAAATTCGACAGAGTCTCCTCAGTTCCATGTCAACCCTTGGCACTTTACTTCTGACATGTCTTCAGTTTTCACGTACACTCTGCACGAAAACGTCGATGGTTTTGCCGGTATCTTCATTATAATCGTCTCGGCTAATGCTAGCTTTAATGTTAGACCTTTGCATGAAAGAGAGGTCTGAAAAGGACAGCGTTCACACCAGCGAGAACTGGATTAGCACCACTGTGTGCCTGGCATGTGCTCGCAGCGTGTCATTTTATGGCACTGAAGAATTTTGGAGGTATGAATGAAGTGGATTTGTGTCAGTGTTAGTGCAGGATGGATCAGAAATGTCTTGTCGTATAGGGTCGCATTCAATTCCGGAGTAGAAATTTCAATCAACAGATAAGAACCAGAGATTGGGTTTCGCTTCTTCTTTTTGTCATGCGTGAATTTATGTCTGGGTAAAACATTATCTACCAATTGGTGCGGACCATCTCCTCCGAATCCCAAAATAGGGAACTTCTAATCACCCTTTCTGGGCACAATCGGGAATCATGTCCTCCTCTTCTTCGTTGTTGAGAACAGTTGGTTTGACGGGACGGGACACGATTCGTCCGCTACTGCATGCGGATTATATGCATCGTTGAAGGTTGTGAAAACGACGAAAACCACTTCAAAGCCTTCACGTCAAAATGGTCGAGAAGGGGGGTCTTGAATCGAGCCTAGGGTCGAGGTGAGTCAGAGGGGCTCCAACTTGAAAGCGGCTGAAGTCTATGCGAAAGGTTTAAACTTCCCAACTTTCAAGGGCCTCAAAGGGATGAGCGAGGCAAAGTCAAGGCTAGCAATAAAATACAAGCCGTGACTGCGCTGGACCGAAGTTCAGATTCGTGACCAGTATCGAAGCTCGGTATGATAAGATCCAACGAATTCAAGGTTCTGCGACTGAGCCAGGCATATCTGGTGCGAACGTCAAGGTCCGAATCTCACAAACTGCGACGTGCTCCTGCACTGTGCAATTGACTGAAGCTGAGATTCATGTCTGGTACAGCGAGCCAGCCAGTGCATGGCATGGCACGGCATCCTGAACCTTGAGAAGAGCTGCCGTCCTGATGGTGTTTGACTTTCATGGCCAGCCAGAGCGATGGATGACTTGCCAGACCAAACGAAGCTCAGATGCAATGCGAGCTGCACAACTGCAATCTACTGTGGCTGCTTCGGGCAAGTTGTTCTTGCCCACCTCGCCAGGCCATGGAACCCAGAGAAACTACAGCGTCATGTCAACCGGGACCCGAGAGCTGGGAGAGACTGTGGACCAAGTGGAACTCCCCCCATCACATCAGTCTCGGTCTCTTCCTCTCTCCATCTCTCCATCTCTCCATCTCTCTGTGTCTCTGAAGCCTCGAAATACTTGCACAGAACGGGGAAGTGTGACGGCGTAAGCTTCACGTTCTCGAAGCGCACAGCGTTCAACGTTCCGGGCTGATGGGGCTCTGCTGCGTTTCATGGGACAGACGGCAAAACTGTGGTGCTGCTGATCGTCGCATGCTTCGAGGTCTAGCTCACTCGTTGTCCTTGTCGTAGAGTTTCAGTGCAGGACGTGTACTTGGCTGAACTTCGGCCGCTCTTGATTGATCGGTTGATTGGGTCGGGTTGGGTTGGCCGTGCTGGACGTGGTGACGCTGTTTCTGCCTGAGCATTCTCCCTCTCTCGAGATGTACGATGCGAGAGAGCTTCTGTGGGCACCTACCACATCCTTCGATGTGATGGGACGCATTGTGTCAGCTTCTGGTTCGGTTACGAGGTTTGCTTACGTGTTCATTTATTCATTTATTCATTTGTTCATTCTTCTCGGCAGAACATGCCAGTGGATGCTACACTACACCACTATACACTTGAATGTCCGAACAAACCGGCCACATTCCATCCCTGTGCTTCCCAGCACCACCTGCCGAGTGTTCATTTATGAGGCTTTGGCGGGCGTTAATGCAAGGAGCAGTTAATATTATACTCATCCTTCCGAGGCTCTGGTAATCTGAGCATCCCATCACTCGTTTCCACATGCCCAGCATTTTTCTTCTCCCATCTTTCATGGTATCACCCAAGGCAAGTGTTGCACGAGCTGTTGCACCCCAAATGTTGGAGGCTGTATTGGCCCGCCCAAGTCTTTATTCTTATATTTCATTCTATGTTTCTTCACCCATTATATCTCAAGGTTTTTGCACATCCCTCTCCCGGCAGGAGATTTGTCCCATTGTTTATATCTGTGCAGGCTTTCCCAATCGCGCTGGTGAATGTCACACGACGTTGATTCTAGTACACTACTGGACAAGACGAGCAGGGGTAGGGTGGCAACTATATCGGGACCTTGGAAGTATTACCTCCAAACCGATGGAGAAGTCTACATCGTCAACTGCAGTCGGGTCTTCTAACAGGGCAGATGCAGATGGGTCAGTACACGATGTACTCATTCAGGTACTTTTGTTCATGAATCCCAGGACTTATCGAAGTTATACATCAGCAAAAACTGTACTAGAATCTGCTATAAGCAGGACAGAGAACAAATGTGAAATTCACGTGCAGAATGGCAGCATTGTGCTCCCCTGCTCACATGAAACAACCTGTACCATCTGTTTAGAAAAGTTGGGTGGTGTCTCTTTATATCATTACCCAGTGGTACATTCCCAGCTAACATGCAATCCACGACTCACGTTATCAGAACACGGGGACGCAAAGGAATCAGTGATATCGAATCCACGACGGCCAAATAAGGAGAATGCAAATTGTCTAATGCAGACAAGCTCTGCATGGCTTAGGCACCCAAGTGGAACATGCGGCGTGAGTAAAACCTTTGCGTGACGTATGAAGTGATGAGACGGCCATGTCACAGCAGCAAGTTCCTCACAACCGCATAACTAAGGGGTCCCATTGGGCTTCACTTGCTTCATTCGCTTTCTCCGTACTTAGGACTTTCGAAGTGAGAGATTAAATTACTGCAGGAACTTCAGTATAGAACTCGACAACGAAGATGCTATTGACTTTGGGCAGGCTCGTGGTGGAAGCCAACATAAAGCCGTGATTCTCGTCCCTCTGACGATGTTATGGGTGGTGAAGGGTACATGGCATCTAACTAAGGCTTCTTGGTTTCAACTAGCAAGTAACATCATTCTCCACACTCCTTATTTTGAACACATCTTGATTTTGACTGCATTTCATGCTCAGTGTTCGTTTGATCGGGTTGTAGTCACAGATTCCAATACTCACACCTCTTCAAAAAGTCCATGCGTCTGGCCGAAGCGTACATATTGCCAGAATACTGCGATAACATTTGTGCTAAACCAAGATTGTGGTTCTGGATCTAAACAATGATATCTACGGGGAGAGAAGTACAGTAAAACAAATAGCTACAGTCCTCGTACTGACCACTCAGAGAAAAAGAATTCGTCAAATTACTGTTACAAGGATTCCTATTCATGCGAGGTTGTCGAGGAGCGAACTTTGATTAGACACGCATCTCGCTAGATTTCCGACCTCAGCAGCCCATGATCATGGGTCTGCCGGGAATATAGAGGTCACATGGCAGTGTACTTGCTGCGGCAAGTGAGTCGAAGTGACGACGTTGTCTCGAGAATCTGTACTTCTAAACTACCTGTGACTTCTCGTTGGTGGTTGTTGGCCTTTATAATCCACAGATTCATTGCACTGACAATGCCTACCTCGACCAGAGGACCAGGCACATGAGAAAGAATATGATCAACAAAACTGGCCGGATGACACATGGTCAGAACACACGGAGTGGGAGGACGTTGCCTCAATTGCCACGTTTAACTGGATCCAATCAACATATAGCAACCGCAGGCCCACAGTGAGGCTAAGCTTGTCCAACATCAATCCAGCCAATACACCACGCCTTCGTTCGAGAGGGATGTCTTCTCATTGAACTTAACTGCGTTTCCCTCACAATATTTATCTATCCGCAGGTGACAAAGCCCCTACATGTCAAATGGGCTGAACGTCGTCCTGTGAAGTAGGGAGAAACATTGGTTTACCACGATGTACCTAATTATCGTTATCTCTCGCTCTCTTCCATACAATTACAACCCCTTCACAGTCCGACGTTGCTAATAGATTCTCCCCATGGTTCCATGAAACGCCCACGGTGGGAACACCGTGGCCCTGCCGGAGATCACAACGTACTCAAAAATTAGTTTCAGACCAAAATTACATATAAATGGCCTCCCCATACTCGCTACTAACATAAACGCCGTAGAGTAGCCTATATGTCATGTGGTTCACAATTTCCACACGATGGCATCGTTCACATGTTTCAAGGCATGCATGTTTGCTCTTTTGTCCAAAAATATGAAAATGGTGGGCCATACCTGGAGCTTGTTTACGCAAGGCCGCTTTGGACGAGTAAAGTCATAGAAATACACGTTCGTGTCCTCATTCCCGGAGACTGCGAATAGGAAAATCATAGAATCAGAATCATGAAATCCATAAAAATTTGAGCTGATCGGTTTTGGTGTTGAACAAGCGTTTCAAAGGTCAGCTTACCTATGAATTCTCCTCTCTCTAAGGAGAGCAGAGGACAAAAAGAAGCCCTTATATTTCTTGCTCGTGGTGGAAGTTTCAGGGAGCACTTTAATGAAAGGTATCCATCCACCTCCATTGCCACACTGCACAATTCATACAACTGATATTAAATGTTCATACCGACTTCATTCTTCCATATGTGCTTCAAAACATTCAACAAACCTGGGTGCAGGATTAAGGTAAAATCGCAAAATTGGATTTGTGGGGGGGATTTGATGGGGCCATTCGGAAGCGATGACTGGACTCTGAGAGAAACATAGGAGAAGATAACGACAGCCAGACACAAGACACTACTATATGAGAGTCATCCCACTTGACCATGTTATCGACATTGTCCCAAAACCTCGCTCAGCTGGTGGAACCAGAAACATACTGGAAGTTTTCTAAATCTCCATACAACCTTATTGCTCTTATGAGTCCAATCTTCAGGGACGCACAAACCTTACAGGTGGATGACGTAGTCAAGGACTTGTTGGGTCACACCTGGTTGAACGAGCCTCAAAACTGATGAAATTTCAACTGTGAAAGAGATACTTAGCACTCTAAAACAGTTCTCCGTCTTCGGCCTCCCTCTTTAACTCACCTGATTTCTTCTTTCAAGTCGGCTACTACCAACATCGGTCAGCCAGAGTGGCCTCCAGTTTATGATAGGCAAATACTATTGAGTACAGCTGTTATTGATGACCGAGCAGAACACTGGTTGTTACCTCAAACATGCAAAGTCTTAACAATGACGAGAATTCAATGAAGGTAAAAACCAGATCAATAACCCTCACCTAAAGAATCGAAGGCTGCCATCTTGGTTGGCAACCAGTAGCACTGGCCCACCCGCTAATAAGGAAAAGGTTCTGAATTGGACGCTTGTCGCCGGAGACTTCCGCTGAATACCCTTACTTGTCCTATGCCCATGTGCCATGGCTCCTGTGTGCATATCCACCTTTATGCTGTGAATACCGCCCTGAGAATTAACCCTTGTACGTTAAGAACGAGATTACAGTGAATTTGATAGCTTTTAAGTAGCTTAATTACCTGAAAACAGAAAAGTTGCAAACAAACCTGAGAATCACCAGCGAAAAGCACGTGACCTGTGTGATCTGTGTCCATTGCAGTTATACTGCTCTCCACCGACAGTCTGTGCAAAACCCTTCCAGTGCTGAAGTTTATAACCTGAGTAGGAGATAGCCAATAAGATAATAATTACCCAGATAGCACAAGCTGACTGAAGAGCAAGGTACGCAAAGTACGAGAGACCTTAAGAATAGTGAAGTTTATCGGCATCAATCGAAAGATAGATAGAACTTACGGTAAGTCCTTGATCAGCATGGCCCACGAGCAAAAAATTGTTGTTCAACTGCAAGTTAGCCATTAAGTTATGAGCTCAGCGATCAGAAGATTCAATAGACCTTCAAAAGCTTTCCTTGAGAATCTTGCCTTGCTGGAATTCATAAATTACGTGATCGTTTTGATTCACGTGATGTTTTACTCGAACTTCCAGTAACTAGTCATACATTTCACCCTAAACGAAACATAGTTAAAGTAGCTGCCTCACTCGTACAATTCTCAAGAATGGAGATGTATCGACAACTTACTCAACGTGAAAATAAACACTTCTCAAAACGAGCTACAGGAGTTTAACTATATACTTACAGGATGGAAACGGATGCACATTTGAGCAGCGTTTCCATATATAACTCGCAGACAACTTCCCTTCTCGACACTCCATACTCTGACGCTTTTATCCAATGATGAAGAACACAAGCATTGATTATTCAAGGACCAATCGAAGTCTGCATGGACCAACAATAGTAATTATATTACACACAAAATTGTCACACTGCCCCACTTGATGTCAAAGAGTCGTTCCCTGCCTCTATAACGATATGAATGAAAGAAGTTCGACTCTGATTATCCACGATTCAACTAAAAGAAACAGTTTTTCATACAAGATATAGGTGTCCAAGTTGCTGACCTGTAATCTCTTTTGTATGCCCCTTCAAGTGGTGAAGTATGCGAGGGGGTTGTGCAACACTACAAATAACAAGGCTGCCATCCGCTGCTCCAAAAGCTAGTAGATCTGAGCTTAAGTGCCCAAATCTGAGTACATTCACTGCAATTTATCACATGTTGTCAAGACTGGTCAACTTCACATCACAGCTAGGAATAGTGTTGCACGAAGAATATCAGTCATTTCGCATTTGCAAGTACATGCCTGAAAACAGAAGATACTAAATTGAGTACACTTTTTGAAGAATCCATAGTGATGCAGTCATGGCAATATATAGATCAGCGTGAGAATCGCTGATCTATATGTTGCACACAAGCTATGCGAGATAAATGTGTAGATATTGACCTGTACGAACATTGTAAGACATGCGATTTACCTTGATGCTACAAGAATCTTTTGAAAACAACCCTCCCTCTGCTTTAATGTTCACAGCACAAGATTTCCTTTGAAAAAATGGAATGCATAGGCAAGGTTACGATGCAAGCATAAAGCCACAGACGACAATGACAGATGATCCATTAAACTCAATAATTTTCAACAGTTGACCTCTCGCTGACAGAGTAAACAGAACGTTATAAATTTCACATGGGCTTAACCTCAATCTAGAAATATTCATATCTTGGTCCTTGACACTCCAAAGCACCAAATCATGCCGCGCACGACTGCATCAACTATCTATGCACAGACCGAGTCACATGAGATGAGAGACCCTCTTACCAGAAGCTTTGATATCATCGAATATGCAGTGCATGCCAACAAATGAATAGCCGGGTTCATGTTGATAGCTGAGGGTTTCTGATTCGGTAACAGATCCAAAACTCGTTCTAGGGCCGTTGAAGGAGCTGACACTTGGCCTACCCTGCATATGGACAAATTGAAATGAATAAGTAACCTAACAATCAATCTGCTCTTGATTCACGAAGGGATATGGAACGGCTTTACAACGCAAACAGTCAATTAGAATAAGTGCCTTATCTTTCTGCATACCCTGGAGTTATTCCCGCTACTCCTGTCGTACGGAAATGGAGAACCTGACCATCGGCCACTGCCGTGACATCAAAGTACAGTCAGTATTTTAAGTCTATATCACAGTTGAGTTAATAATGAAACCGATAGGACTGATGAAGGTGTTGATGGGGGTATCAACAACAACTACTGCATCAAACGGGTACTTGGACCTATTTCTCTACTTCCAGAACGAAGGGTTCGAACTAGTATACGGAAAAAAAAATTAGCTGGCTAGAATCCACCTTTGCTATCAATAACTGCTGGAGAGTTTGAAATTCCGGCTACCAGTCTACTGTAGTATAAAATATTTGTAAAAGTTTTTCGTATCTTCATAGAGCATATGCTCGCTCCAAAAAATGCAGCTCCTAGAGAAAAGCTTCTCAATAAAATGCACGTAATATGTGAACACTGCCTGTAGCACAGGCAGAAACAGATACCTATCTCCGGGGTAGCTCAAGGGACTTGTAGGCCGCAAATTGTCCCACTGTTTGCATTGTCGAATGTACTCTCGATAGGCAACATAGCCTCTACCGTTACATTTCCACATCTGCTTGCATTCTAACCAACCAGATAGGGTGAGCCAAATACTTAAGGTAACACACGTCTAAAAAACTACCGACCTCCTGAAAAAATTACCAATGTGCTGACAAGATTCACCTCGTAGCTCACTGTTGTTTTCGTCCTTCTCTTTCCTTTCTTACGTTTTCATTGATATCAAGTAGCTTTCAGACTATTCGACTTTATCACCTTATCACTGGCACTGTACGATCATCCTACTTTCATTTACTGAACCAATTACGTATAGGGCAATACAAAGAAACAACCACTCTGGGCAAGTCAAAGCACAGAGTGAATTCAAGTGCCTTCAAAAGCTTCTGCACGACAAGTCATCCTTGAATCCAGCCTCCTGGTCCGTCCGAGCTCTTAAAATTGATGACGGAACCTCCACTTTGTCGAGACGAATGCTAGACACTCCACGTTACTATCCATGTGAATTGTCTTGCGTCATGAAGGCGGACGGTCACAAAAGCCTAGTCGGTGAAGGATAAAGGAAGAGGTACAAAATCCTCGGAAGGAAAACCCACCTGACGCTGAAGGTTCCCAGAGAGCGCTTTCCTATACAGCAAGAGACGACGTTGTCCAACGTAGGCTGCATCTTGCTGAGTAGTTCCGCCTCCGGGTTCCAAAATGCAAGCATAGAACTCTGCCTGCTGCTGCTCCTCAACGGCAGGCAGCTCTTCACTGCCCGGCATTCCCACAGGACCTGTTATACCACAACTGATTGACTGCTTGAAAGAATGCTCGTGCCCCAATTAGCCTGATCCATCCTCATTCCAGATCATCTCTTCTCACGATCGATCGAAACATGCCACGATCGCCCACATCCGTACCCTCTCCAGACAGTGAGGCAAATTCGTATGACATTGACAAATTGACATTATCTCATACCATCCCATCGCATCCCATCTGATCTCATTTCATCTGATCCCAAAGCGAAATTCACCACTTCCACTGCCACATCAAACCGCCTCATCCAAGAGTACAACAGCTCACAAGGTCCGATCCACATTCAATCGCGCGTATCTCCATTCCTCTCAATGACATCGGCTCTCCATCCGGCATTGCAGCTTCGGGCTGTTGGAGCATTTGTACATGCACCAGCGCATCTAGCCTTCTGAGCATCACTCGATTTACAGCACTGAACAATACAGAACAGTAGTTGCACTTCGAAATCTGCAGGCTCCCACGAGGCCGAAGTGACACAGAGCTCGGTTCTCGGCTCGGCCAATGAGCTCTCTTGCACTCAGGCAGTCAGGCAGGCAAGCAGCCATGAACTTCACCTTGCCTCACAAGGACTTTCTGCTCTCTTCTGTACAGTTCGATCCTACAGAAGGCAGCAAACGGAGTCCAAGGTTCCAACTCTGGCCCTTGCTTGCCCTCGGCGGCAGAGCGAGCACAGAGCGCGAGAGATGGCACGAAGGTCCATGCGCTCCGCTCCCTGCTCAAGAAACGTCGACCTTCACGGCCTCCGTTGATGAAGGACCTCGAGCCTCGAGCCTCGAGCGTAAGAGACAATAGTCGAAGTTTTAAGCACAGATTACTGATCAAAGTGGCTGTAAAGTGCAAATTACTGCGCCGTCTGCTTGGGTTTGACATTCACCTGGTGCGCAGTGTGCACCCTCGATGTCACCCCGCATAACATTGCCAATCTTATCTGCATCCGAACATGTCACGATTGCATTTGCCTCCCCTTGACATTTCTCTCTGCTCAATCTTTTAGAGCGTATTTTCAGCAACAGCATCCATACAACTTCATGGGGGGTTGTCAGGTCAAATCATTATTTTCTTACACTTGCATCAACCTTCTCCCGAAACTCCGCGGCCACCTTTTTATTTCCACACATTTGTTGAGTATCTTCGTAATTCTTTCTCAAATCCTCAACTAAATCTCGAAATGGTTTTTTAAAGGGTCAGACAAAAATGGTGAATCCGAGGTACCACTTCAGATTTCGAGTTCCTACGAGCAATAAAGGAAATATTGACACGTGTATCCATGACCTTCAATGTCTCTTGACGAAAGTCTCTCGGCTTTGAACATGAAAACCCAATTTTAGATTTCCAGAAAAGAAATTTTTAATCGATAAATATTTAATGATCGAGGTGAAGAGATATATTTTCCGCATTGGCTGAATAGAGTGGCTGTCGATTTCGACGGATAAGTACGCGGTGAAAAAGAAAGACGAAAGCAAGGCGTCCATCGTGCAGCCCAAGGAAAGAGCAGACAAGGGAGAAAACCCATAAAACGAGGCACAAGCCAGATTGGAGCTCTTACAAAGGCACGCGACTGGGACCATTGGACACTGTCTTCTTGTGCTAAAGGACCATTGGGCAGTGTCTTCTTGTACAAAAGGTCGGCCGGCATGGTTTCCCGAATAGTTCGATAATGTGGATCTTTTTATTGTCACGTGTGGTGACAATGTTTAGAAATACTCAAAATTATTTCCCGTGTTCGCCTTCTATTTCCGCATCGAGTAATTAGAATGTTAGTGACCTCCAGAACGTACCGGTATTGGCTGGAATGATATAAATCGCTAAGAGCAACAAGAAGACAGGATGAAGTCTACAAAAGCACTCGGTTCTCTCACTCGCACTTTCAAGGGCACGGTTTCTAATTCATAGGAGCAGAGATTTATTGAAAAGATTGTATTGCTAGCACATGTAATGTAGACCTTATAATTAGATTTTGATTTTGCATATAATTCATACATATAATAAAAAACACATTTGTTCGAAGACAATCCTGAAAATGCTCATACATCATTCATACAAATTCCTGTTTGCGTGAATGGACAAGTGATGATGTCTCAATAGAACATAGCTACTATGATTCACAGAGATATAGTGTTTGCTTCACCAATACTGCAAGAACTCAAAAATATTGACTCATGTATGGGTGAGGTTACATTCTTGAACGAGTTGTATGATTGATTTATTCATATTGATTGATTCTCGATCTCACCTTCGTTACATTATCTAGTATATTTCAGTCGCGAATAATCCTTCCTCTACATAGAATACTAGATGGTGCAAATCATTTTAAAGAAAATCACACTAAGTGATAGGTCTTCTTCCTTATCTAATATATTTCAGCCGCGAATAATTCCTCCTCTACATAGAGTACTAGATGGTGCAAGTCATTTCAGAGAAAATCACACTAAGTGATGTGTCTTCTTCGGATTTGTTTGTAACGTCTTGACCTATATAGTTCACAGATCTAACGTGTAATATGACACGTTAGATCTGTATAACGTGAAATATGACATTATTCTCATTTTGATGCTAGTTGAAACTAACACCAATAGCATCATTATAGATCACCCATTGATTTAAACATGGTATCATTTGATGGATTCTTGTGGATTAGTCTTGATATATCGTTTGGTAATAAACTGTTACGGGGAAGTTATGATGATAGTGCTCTTTGCGTGGTGGTTGATCATCTTACTACTACACCTAATATATTTACACTTCCACAAGATGGTAAAGCAGCTATGGGGAATGAAAACACAATCGAAAGTTGCTTTGAAGTAATGGAATGCAATGTTTTATTTGAGAATGGCTAGTTATATTTCAGTTTGGGTGAATTATTCCCCACCCTACTACATTAGAACCTGTCTAAGTTAATACTGCCAGACCAGTTGTTTTGTATTAATTTAGACAGTTTATAAATAAAAAGAGGTTATATGTTCGCATCATTTGTGGTGGTACAGTTATTTGCACATTGACTAGAGTCACTGGTTTTGTATGGAAAGCTAATGTCTAGATGTAACAACAAGACATGTTTCGAGATTGAATTGTGTCGAGCTCAATAGTGTTATAACGCTGTCTTCAAACCCGTAAGCTTCACTCCAAAGAAAAAAAGAACATGCTTGTCGAGAACACAAAGCATTCTTGAAGTTATTGTTTCTTGAAGGGGGCTGAAGGGGAGGGAGGGAGAGAAGACGAGAGAGAGCTTGTACGTGAACAAATGCACTTTGATGTTCTGTCGTTCTTGGCAAGGCTGCCGCGACAAAGAATCCGCGTCGGGACAGTCTAGTCAGGAGTTACGTAACACATGTTCTTCGTATCCATCCACCAAAGCTGCGGTCTACTCTCCTCACAACCCACGTCATTTCTCTCAACCATTTATTTCTTTGCAGTGGTTATTGATATAAAAAAGTTTTGGGAATGACTGTGAAATATTAATTATTAACTTTTGGAGGCTTATTAATAAATACACAGGCCCGACTTGGGACTGGACTATATATATTAGTTATCACAGGTTATTAAGTTAGATAGTATTAATTTAAACAGGTTCTACTGTATACTATACAAGATAGAGTTTTGTGATTGGTCAGAGTTATCTCTATGTATACTAAAGCTCTGTGATATAGTCTTCGCGGGTAAAGGGGAAGAAGTAGTGCAGCATGGGAGCATTAGACTAGGGGGAGGATAATTACCTCAAACTAAGTGATAACTAGTCGCTCCCTTTCATTTTTCTCTCTTTTTGTATTAATGCAACGCTTGAGAAGACAAGTTGCAAACGAAACCGGTGAGATGAAACAAGGACTTTTGCAAAAGCCTTGCAATCAGAAAACCGGATACAAATAAAAATTTAGTCAAATCTTTATTTGAGTATTAACTTTAGGTTAAAAAAAAGGGGGCAGCTAGTTAAAGCTCACCTGAGGCTAATTAGCCCTCATCATATTATACGGAGGTCACTAATTGGTCGTATAGGGTTCGTGTGGGAAAAATAAATCTCGCGAGTTTCTTTCATTCTTTGTCTTTCTCCTCGACGTGATTAAAATTCACCACATCTTGCGTTCATGTGAGCCGAAGAGATGTGCTCAACTTCACATCCAGAACAAGCTCCATCTGCTGGGTGTGAGTGAGCAGATCCCTCCTTTTCGTTTGACTCACGCAGATCTAGATCATGTTGTCGGATCTACGCACGGAATCTGCAATTGTGCGCGCTCGTTTGCAACGCTGTGAACGGCACATTTTTAGTCTATTTGAGTACTGCAATCTGTCTGAAAAGCTCTGCACTCTCTACATGAAAGCAATTTCAAAAGCTGCAAAAGGTGACGCACTACCAATTTCAATAATCCAACGCGCCGGGTCGGCACCACATCGCATTGCCTCGCCTGATCATCATTGCGGCTAGAAATTCTTGGCATCAAAAAATTCTTGGCATCTTGGAACCTCTTTCCTTGCAAGGCAAGGCGAGATCCGAGGAGGTAGCACAATCGGTGATACCACCTAGCATCGACTCTTGGAACAGAATGTGGCATCGATTTAATGTGTCACGATTCTGAAGATGCAATTTAAATTAACGAACGTCTAATTTTATGAACTTTCAATATGAATATATTATATTCATATTGAAAGTTATGAAATTGACACTTGTGTAATAAGTCAAGATTCTGAAAAATCTTCTAGCAAAATATACCATTTCAATTATTATTTACTTTGTCACTTAGATTAGAATGGCATTGTATTAACAGGTTCTTGGGTTGACAAATGAGATGTTTTAGTCGGAAAATTAACACCTCAAGAAACAGAAAGAAATCTACGTGCTCCATAACAAAAATTAATACGAGTTGTTTTTGGAATTCAAGTAGCAACTTCGAGAGAAACATGTGATAAATTTATTTCAGGATGTATAGTTTGAGTTATTGATATTCAATTACTCTTCATCTAATCACTTCACTTTAATCTCATCTCATATCTTTACATTTTATATGAAAAAAGTGGATTGTCAAATTCATACTCGAGTTGTTAAATTCATCCCCTGTTAGAAGATGCCGAGATCTATGTAACGCATCTTTTGATGTACATTAACTTGTTAACAATACATGAGAAATGCATGGCCATTCAACCTAGAGACATGGTGCTAGCTCGTTGACTGAGAAAGGAAGATTAGCAAATATGTATGACGTTTTTGTCGATATAAATCACATGTGTATTAGACGTTTATTGAGATTAAAATACAAGAAGTTGTGGGCATATGTGTGATTTGTATCACATGAATTGTATCACAGTTCTTTACAGATTGAACAACGATAAACACGCTAGCAGTCATATATATTTCCACAAGTTCAAACTAAGATGATTCACGTTGTGTCGAAGCTATATTTTTCCGACTGGTAGTTGGTACTCATGGACGCACTCTAGTAATCTCAACAGATGGATTTGCCAATTCCAAGGTTTATTCGACCATGTTTTGGAGTGAATTGCGAATAGGATTTGTTAATGTGTTGCCACTGTTTGATATCTTGATTCCACAATATGAAATACATATAAATGGAATAAATTTTTTGAGTATGTGGATTCCACATCCTCATAAAGCCCATGAAGTTTATGGATGTTCGAAAAGATGATTTGAAGGGCCTCAGGTTGACCAGATGTCATACGGGAAGTTATCAGTCGACAAAAGTTTCATAGATGTCGTGTTACCCGACTCAAACTCGAATCCAATGTGTACACACATGACATAGAGTGCCTTCAAATCATGGATCCAATGAGAGCATGGAATTCCCATTATCCTTGTAAACACATAAGGAACATGCTTCAGACATTTCTCCTCTTCTTGAAGAAGATTCAATTGTTTTCATGGTCCTTTGAGGGTGAATACCGATATACGTATCTATATATACCCATATTTTTAAACATCATCAAAAAAAGCTTTTCGTTTATGTTCAAAGCTTACCTCATGCGTTCAACGCTCCGTTGTGCTTCAATTTCTTTCATACCATTCTCAAAATCATGACATAATCGTATATGACCATCGCGTAAATGCTGGATCGATATCGCCCTATACCCTTTTATCATACTATGCTCACCTTCAAAGATGTCCAAAGAAGTTGTGTGGTTGTGATTCTCATTGCGAATTTGAACACGCCAACGAGTATCTGCCCCTTGAGAGTCTAACGGAGATCTTGAAATTACAGTCAATTTGACGAGTTACAGTGTGACGTAGACGTTTGTCAATAGTAGATTATTTCGAAGAGTCGTAGGTACCACGGAAGCACTTGGTCCCAGCACTTCTTTGTTTACAATTGGTGCGCTATTTGGAGATTGCAAAGCCTTGACTGCATACAAAAGCTCGCACACTTTGAAACACCTCCCCAGAAGTGTTATAAGATGTTTCTAGAGTCATTTGCATGATGTACTTTCAGAAAAGATAGTGTCTGGTGCAGGAAATTAAAGTGTTGGCTCTGAGATAGCTGAATCTGACAAGTTAAGCGGGGAGGGGAGTGAATTTAACAATCCACTCAAGAATTAGGTATTCACGGATCTTGCTAGACTTACGTAAAGTAAGAAAAATATTTCTCCTTTCTCTTGGTCTTCAAAACTTAGTTCTATGATATTATCAACATTTATTTTCGGAATATTTTCGAATATTCGCATCTGTATTTCTCTCGTTGTTGGCGAACTCAAATCCAATTCCTTCGATGGGAGAGGCTCCGAATACTACGACGAGGCCCTCGCTCCCTCCATCGCTTTCATGAGCAAGTTCCACGCCCTGATCTTGCTTCGAATGCACCCTCGAGGATGTTGGACGACTAGCTCCGACTTCGAGCGACTGGACAAATGATAGCATTGCCCTCGCCGACGGAATCGAGGTGAAAGAGTTGTACGAAATGATAGACCTTGATTTGGAGCATGTTATGTAAATCGGAGATTTGCTCCCTTTCCGAATGCGGAGACCAGGAAACTGGAACAGGAAGAGAAGAGGATGAACTCCATCTCTTCTTGGCAATGAGGCGAAATGCATTTCCAAATTCGACATTTTCCGCGCCTCAAGCTTTGCGGCGTAAAGCGGAAAAGCTCTTGCCCAAGAGTCAAGAATATCGACGGCCAGCGGAATGGGATTCTAACAGCAACCACTTAATCCAGTTCGATTCTTACATCCTCAGCAGAAGATGTAAGAATTATGAAGTGTATCGGAAATGAAATGAAAATTCGTGTATGAGCGTATGCAAACATGATCCGACAAGCGGACACGATAGTTAGAATTCTCGCAGCAGGCACGACAAGAAATGATGCGGAATCGGATCGGATGTCGATGGAGCGATGCGGGGTCTGTGACAAAAGTCTGATGAGCTTTGGCCAGCATCGGCAGCAACTTGCAAACGAGCCTGGTCTTCGAGGGGCAACCTTGGAAAGCAGAAGGATGCGGGCCATTTCGAGACCTCAGCAGTCCAGACGACGAGCGCATGCCTCCCACAGCGTTGATGGACTTCGAGCCATCCATATGACGACATCCAAGAAAGCCAGGGACCAGCACCTGTCCTGACTCCATCTTCGTTCTACGTTCGAAGGGTAAAAGGAGGCAGGACGTAGAAATTAATCCGCAGGCATCGGCCGAATGCACGTTCTGCGCGCCAGCCAAAAATTACTATATTCATTGGGTCAGAGGTGGACTCGACAGGTACCCAACAAAGAAGGAGGCCGAAATCGGAGGGCGGAATCGGATGTTGCCCCCATTCAATCCGAGCGGAAGAGGACAAGGAAAAGAAACAGTTGGCCGACGAGACGCGAGAGTCTCTCTCACTGTGGATCCACTGCCGGTCCAGTTCCGTACTACGGAGGCAGAGAATCTGAGACCTTTGAACAGTGGGTGAACTGGCGTCATGCAGGTTTCATGCAGGGCGAACTGGGTTCGGTGCTTCTGCTGCTCGGCCTTTGTGAGCAGAGGTAGACCGAACGGACCTCTCGTCCACTTCGGGTCGTTCTGGCAGCGATTTGCTTCGCACAAAGCTCACATTGTGTGTCATTTGTTGGAGTCGCTCTTTTGCTTGCTGGGTGGTTGAATGTCGAGCTCTATGGCAAGGTCTCCACCATCGCTAGCTCTCGAGGAATTTTGTGGATTGAGAATCGTAAGTAAACGAAGCTGTTGGTTTTCCAGCGAAGGGCGCTGAAGCGGATCGGGCAAAAGGGTAATTTTAACAGAATCGCGGCGAGTCGAAACCGGACGCGAGATTTTATTTTTTTCCATACGACAGGATCCGAATCTTGTGCACCGGTAATCTGTCGACAAATTGCCTGATTTTTTGGCTCATCACGAGAGGCTTGAGGATGGGTGTCATTACGAGAGGTTGGTGATCTTGAGCTGGGAAGTGTTTTGGAGCGTGGTGCGAGGTCACAGGTTTTCCAACATCCGCGTTCGTCCGGTACAACAGGAGGAGATTTGCAAGTCATATCTGGAAGCAATGGATTCGCTCAACGCGACCGGTCATGCAATTTTTCTGGAGCTGAACGAGAAAATACAAGGATTGGAACCGTCATGGCGAGAGTGGGCCGTAGGGATGTTGAGGCCTATTGCTGCTTTAGCAGTAGTAGCGGTTGCAATGGTTCTTTCTTACTCGCAGAAGCTGGGTTTAGAGAAAGAAATGATCTACTCCATCGCGAGGGCCTTTATTCAGCTGTCAGCAATTGGGTTCGTTTTAGAGTTCATCTTCAACCAAGCGAACGTGGCATGGATCTTCCTGGCCTACGTGATAATGGTAATCTCCAATCTCCCCCTCTGCTGTTCTAATCCGGGGACAAGAACCATGTCGCCAACCTTTGTATTCATTCAGTCAGAGAATTTCTATGCCTTTGTGTTGGTGTTGTTGCAGAATTTTGAGGGAGTTCTGGATGTGAAGGTTCCCCATCGCTCTCTTAGGATCCCGATTATCCAAACGAGCTTATTCTCTGCCGGGTCATGTGCACAGGTTACGGTTGCAGGTTACACCGCAGGTCAGCGAGCACGCAACGTACCAAACGGGGCCTATGTTGCAGGACTGTCTATATTTCTGGGAACGGCTTTGACCATGGCATTGCTCGTCGTTTTGAAAGTGTTTCCCTTCACTCCTCGCTACATTATTCCAGTCGCTGGGATGATGGTCGGCAATGCCATGACTGTGACAGGAGTGACACTGAAGCGAATGAGAGAAGACTTGCGGCTTCAGCAAGGGATGGTACGTTCTCTCTACCCGGTCACTTCCCTACCCCTTCGTACTTTCTTTCATTCAGCCTCGTATCCATGTTTTGCTGTGTCTGGTACGTGACGGTTGGCAAGAGGTAGTACATCGATCTTTCTTCAAGACTTCTTGTTGGTCCTGTTCATCCTTTATCAATAGCGCAGTCGATGAAAGAGCCAGTGACGTGTGGACGATGTCCTACGTCCAATGTGTCCTCTGTATAGTCTGGTCTGTGAAACATTTGTATTTTCCCTGTGGCAGATAGAGACAGCATTGGCTCTTGGTGCAACGCCCCGACAGGCAACTGTCAAACAAGTGAGAAGGGCGCTGGTGGTTGGTTTGTCACCGGTGCTTGACAATGCTAAGACAGTAGGGCTGATCTCACTACCGGGAGCTATGACAGGTCTCATCATGGGTGGTGCATCACCCACTGAAGCCATTCAGCTGCAGATTGTCGTGATGAATATGTTGTTGGGAGCATCCACGTTCAGTGGAGTTCTAGCTACATATCTGAGCTGGCCCTTCTTCTTCACCAGCACGTATCAGCTCCAGACGAAAGTGTTGAGAGACGAATAGCTAGCTCACGTAACAGGCAGCCAGAGCACAAATCGTGGAGATGTGCTGGCATCGTCCTGAAACAAAAGCTGGATGCTACACCCAACCAAGCTTCGAATTTCCAGCAATTGCTCCACATAAGCCTTTGCGTTCATAGAACATGGACGAATTGTCTTCCATGACCACAGGCGGTGTAAATCTGGTACCATACATAAACGTGATTGTATCATAGTAGCTTGGGGTTCGCTTATGAGGCGGAGGATCTGCAAGACGAAGTTGATAGAGCCGAGGCTTTCGATTTCCTGCCCCCTGCCGCAGTCGGTCACGTTTATGAATGTTTTGGCCGCTGTGGAGATGGATAGTTCAGACAGAGTACATATATAGCAGAATTTTATTCTAAGGAGTTTGAAAATCGCCTACATTCGTACAGCTATTCACATCGAACCAAGCCAACTCTGACATCGTGTCCTCCAAAGCCCACTCGTGAAGGGATGCCGGAACTCTCTACTCAAGGACAGGACGCTACCTGTTGACTCGTGTAAACTAGAGGACGGTCACGTCTGAGTCGTCTAGTGCATAGGTCAGGGCCTTCGGCTTTAAATTTCGAGTTTCAGATCCGGTTCTCAGTTTGCCCGGCACCCATCAGTTGAACACATCTTTATAGAACTGAAACATTTGTTGACAATTCTCGTGTTTAAGCGCCATCATTGACCAAATAAAGGACGAGTTCAAAGTTGCCGTTTTGGGTGTATGGCTACACAAATTTTATCAGTTCTCAGTTCGTTTCTCTCGGTGAAGAATTCTGATTATCTCCAATCTTGACGAGTAGCTTGCTCAATTCTGCAGTGTCTTGCGTAGTAAATACGACTGGTGGATATGAAAGGAGCGAAAATCGGAGTGAAGACATGAGAAATTTCCTTTTCTCCTGTCAATATCAGCATATGCGTGTGGCCAGTGTAGGCAACTGCAACGCCGAATAAAAGCGTAGCACGCTTATGTTCAAATCTATTATGCTGTTTAGGTCGAGATAAACAAACGGAAGAATACGGCATATCGGTCAAACGGCTTTGAGTTAGTCGCTTTTTAAAAGTTGTTGGTTTCTGCTTTGAAGCGTTATTCATGCACAGGAATGTATACAGCTGCCTATTAGTTCACATTAGAAGTTACCACTTGACGTCTCTTTGACATTCTCAAGGTTCACAACGATGATTCTCGATGAGGCCTCGTTTGGGCACAAATTAGAAGTTTCAACATCCGCTCAGCATTATGAAGGAGCGTTGTGAAAACATTATCTATGAATTAAGGTTGTTATGTAGCATGTCGTGCATAGACGTATAAACGACCACGTGTGATAAATAACAAGACTATAGACACGTCTTCTTAAGACCTCAAATATACTTTTTGAACCGACGTAAAGCATCGTGACATTGGAACTTAATTTCTCTTTTACTTCAATATACGTATAGTAACATCTCAACCCCAACAAGGGTAACAGAGATTGTACAAAATAGCTGAGACCGATCTTTGTCCGACAGCTCATCGTCTTTCAACAAACGTGACCTGGTACTTCTCAATATATCACATATCTCCACGAAAGTTTCCCCTACTCAGGTGACCGTCGACTTAGCAAGATCTGAAAATACAAGACCTCGGTGCTCGAAATTTTGGAATTCGTCAAAGCTCGCACATCCCGGACTAAGAATCACGGCATCCCCTGTGCAGAAGGAGGAACGGAAGGTGTAAAGAATTCAGCGACAGCGTCAACACAGAGAACAAAACCTATTCGATAGGAAAACAGCCATGAGTTTAGATTGAGTTTCGCACTCCTTATACTACCATCTAGATCCTACAAGCAACGAATCCCCTCATGGAAATTGGGTGGTTGAATTATGACAAAAGATAAGGATTAAGTTTCAAACCTACGAGGTAGCCGCCATGAGAATTTCAAATCTACTCGTACTTTCGGGAATCCCTTATACTGCTGTCCAGGTAGACAAAATTAGCTGCTAACCCCAAAGGAGTCAACCTAGTTGCGAACTGACTTGGGACTTCACTCACCAGGTTGTACGAAAGATCGCGCAAGCTTCACAGCATCTTTCAAATTTTCAGCCCGGACACAAGGGACGGAGATGGCTGCGGCTCTCAACTCCTCTTCGATCTGCTCTCCCGACGCACCGAACTGCTCATTCTCGCCAATAACAAGGAATCTTGTTTAGAACAAAACATACCACTACTTAACAAAACACTGAGCACTGGACATAAAGAAAAAGTTCAAAAAGTACAAGGAAAAATTAGCTCACCAGAATTACCGCTCTATGTGAATTCAAAACTTCCCCAAGTCGTTCGAATCCAAGATTTCCTTCAGCCAGAACCTACATATTACATCGACTACATTTTGAGAATCTTCAAATGGCAATTGGTTAGGCATCCCACCTCCTTATCAGCTTAGTTGGTCCATCCCTTAGTTGACCTGTATCCTTCCAGGCATGGAGTGTCACTCGATACAATTTAGAATTGAAAACGTTCCAGGCTCAGCAACATGAGCAGCTCTCCTTGAAACCTTTTTTCGTCGAACACTTGGACAAAGACCTTGTGTCTAACCTACCTTTGCAAGGCCTCCAATAAGGATAACAGCTTTCCGCCCAACTATGCCCTTGATTCCAACATAAGTTGCATCAACGTTTGTGGCTTTGCTATCATTAACCCACAAAATCTCCTGTTCATCCTGATGAACTGCATAAGATAACCACGTTCAGACAAGTAACATCACCAGTTAGCAATAACGTATCTGTATTTGTTGGATAAAATCTGATGCAAATTACCTACAACACAGTACCTACAAACATCTAAAATATTTATGCCAATGCTCAGTGCCCAATTCGTAAGGCCTCGGCAGTTTTAAAATTCAGAACATCCACTCTAAAATATACTGGCGCGGGATAAAGACACATAGTTTCCACGTACCCACTTCCATACGATGAGGAGGCGGCTGGAGTGTTGGCAAAACTGATTGAATGGACTCCTCGCTCACACCAAAATCCACCAGAGCCAACGCTATGAGCGCAGCACTTCCAGCATTGTGTGCATTATGCAGACCAACAGCTTTCATAGAAGACAAGTAAAGTCCAGCTTGAATTCCAGTGGTAGGCACTAATATGAACGCACGTCGTCCTTGACTGTCAAGCTTGGCATCACAAAAATTATCAAGTACGGCGCATTAGATGGTAAACGACCTAAAATAAACGCGGCGGGAAGTGGTGCAAAAGAGCAGGACTAAAGGCAAAACATAACGAAACAGATACCTGCACACCTGGAAGGCCTCCAAGCCAAGCGCGTGTTCCTTTGCTACCAGACTCAGCAGCCAACTTTCTCAAAAACGTGTCGGCTGTGCACAAAGTCAAGGGATAATTAAGAAAACAAAAAAGTTAGGACAGCCCTGATTTTGACGAACACCAATTTCAATTGTCTCTGGAGTCTCTAGTTGAACAACGAATTTATAAAGACAAGGTACATAGAGTGCAGTCAAATGAAATGGCAACAATTAAACTGCAATTGTCAGTACTTACATTGTGGTATGACAGCAAGATTCGCAGGACCCATTTGAGCGAAAATGCGACACTTCATCTTTCCATAGGTTTCCATGGTTTTGTGCCTCTCTAGATGGTCAGGTGTAAGATTAAGAATCACACCAACCTGATCAAGCAACCTGATGTCAGCGATAATTTCAATGTTATGAGGATGAATGAAAACAAACCACCCACCCAGCACAACTTCGTTAGAAACTCCAATGACACTACGAAGGATAATAAGAAATATCATATTCTAAACTTCTATCTCCTTCTTCCGAAAAGTAGCATTCTCCTCTTCGTGCAACGTGCAGGGTAAGCTGACATCATAAATACAAACTTACAGTTGGAAATGTAATCAATTATGTGTACATTTAAGATTTTCAAAAGCAGCATCAGGTTGTCATCAATTGACAATCATTGACAATGCAGCTGACAACAAAGCAATAAAGGAAAGAGACCACAGAACGAGTCTACTGACCTTCGGTCGAAACATTCCTGCACGTTCCATTTGATAACTGCTGACTTCGACAACCGCTGCCTGATGGATGTGAGAGGCGAACGTAAGATAAGGTATCCGGCTTGGTACATCCCGTAAAAAACCAGTCTACGGAAAAGAGTATTGTTGAAAGGTTATCCGGCAAGAGAAAAACATTACATGATAGGGAGGATCATTCGCTGGAAAAGCGAGACATTGTAAGGCAGCCTCTGAGAGGGGAGTGCCCAAATTTCCACCTACGAATGTTCGTACGCCTGCGTGCCGGAGTATCTGCTTCCATCGCATTGTTAAACATATTGCACGCATTTACATACCAAGGACCATCACTTAGCTGTCGCGCATCAAGCAGCAGTGCTCCTCTTGTCGGAGGAGCACTGCTGTTTATCTTATCAATGAAAGCTCGCTTAGAGGGATGGAGAGCCGTGAAACGACAAAATGCCATTACCACGCGTCTCTACGATCCGAACCATGAAATTTCATGTATATACAATCCCAATTAACCATTAATGAAGAGAAAAAACCCTTTCGGGTGAAGTCTGATGAGTGACGACGAGAACACCGTGAAGAGCCAAAATATGATCACAGATGGAAGAAGTGGATGGAGATCACAAACAAGAACCAAAAAAGACAAAAGACTTTAAAGTTTCAAACTCCACGACGTAAACGAGAAGATAGCCTGAAAGAAATTACACCTGCCCAGCAAACGTGGTGACAGTTGACTTCCCATTCGTTCCTGACACAGCAGCAAGTTGGATGCTCTTTGGAAGAGCTGCTGCTGCGAAGCTTAGCTCAGACAGCGCAGGTACTCCCTGAAATAACGAACAAAAATTCATATTAGCAACATGCACAATTACTATGATACTAAGGACCGCTAGATAGCCGATCCAAGAACAGTGGCCTCCGTAAAGTTCGCTGTAAGGGGCAGACAGCGATTTCTTCTACGATAAGTAAGCCAAGGCAAAAAAGGCTTGCATTTACCGCTTGAATAGCTGCAGCAATGTCAGGCTGCGATGCAGAAACACCAGGTGACAGCACCAACTGAGACGCTCCGAACAAAGTTTCCCTATTGTGTGGACCGAACTCAGTCCGAAGTCTACTCACGGCGGCAGGGTGGAGGTCCACCTAAATGACAAGCATCCAATTGATCGTATCAGTCATGAATTACAAAATCCGAGTATGGGCCATGTTATAACAAAGCCTCCTGCAAAATATATATCACAAAACTCAAGAAGAGAAAGCAGTGGTAATAGTGAAGAACCTCGACTGGAAGGGTGTTTGGGTTGCTGTCCACGGCCACCACGGTTGCTCCACGCGCTAAAGCAAGCTTCACTGCTGCTCTTCCAGATGCTCCGAGCCCCACGACCTGGCCCTCTCATCAACGCAGGGTACGATTACATTATTCAAGATAGTTTCCACAGAAGTCGCCTTCATGAAGAAAGACTAAGTGACAAGTACTTCTCGACCAAGACGATAACCTCTTAACAGTAAAACAGATCGATACGAGATGTTTTCATCTAGATTTGAAATCTGGAAGATGTGATGAACATTAGAGTACAATCTGGAAGCACATAAACCTAGTCAACGTGGAAGACTGATCTCTAGCTGCGACATAAGACTCGTGAAAAGCTTTTATGACGTGCATGACTGTCGTGAGTCATCTGTGTCGTGCTTGCACACAACACATCTTCATTTCCGTCATAAACATCAAGAGACGACCAAGAGCGGCAGTACTATCTGACACCCATTATGTGTACAGTTTCATGCTCGCTGCACAGAATTTGCGAGTATCACTACCGGGATCTTCCCACCGGAATATTTCATCCTTCAAGTGCGACGCGAGAAGTCTCTAAAAGGCTCCAAAAACGTCTCGGTAGTTATCAGTTCAGGAGAGAATGAGTGGACGAGAATCCAAGTTTAGCAGCTCACTCAAAGATTCCTCCAACTTTCGCAATGGGCCTTGAACACTCCTCACTCACACTTCACAAGAACAACCTCCAAGGCCCTGTAGCCGGTGGACGAAAGATTCTAGTAGGAAGATCCGGAGTGAAACTTACTAATCTCAGAGCAACTCTAGACCAAGATAGACGATAAAAGCGTTCTCAACCCACTTAGCCTTCTACCAACACCTTCAAGCAGCTCACACTTCATCAATCACAAGTTCAATGAAGTTGCGGTGAGACATATATGTAAACATAATGATGTAATTAAGGCTCCGCAATTTCAAGACTCCACAAACAAAAGTACGTGTTGTGCGACTACTTACAACAACATTTTTGCCCGTAAGGTCCTGCCGTGATTGCATGACAGTTACCACAACCTTCGTATTGCGTTTACTAAAAGTCTGCACGGACTCCCGCCAGTCCAAACCAGACGACCACAAGTCTGACTTTAGCCCCGCTCCTGAACAACAAAAAGGAAGTGTAAGTTTGTCCTCGTGAAGAGTAGCAACAAAGTACAAGCCATTCTCGCTGTACAGACCTCCCTAGTCACGGACATATTGTACAAGAGGTACGGGCTTCGTTGTTCCAGGTCGAGGATATAGCTGTATTTGACCACTCATCACCAGTCCTAGGAAAGATGGCAGGAGAAGGTAGAATATCGCTTCTAAAACGACTCTCGTGTCACAATGAGTGAACGGAAACTTTCTGAAAACACGCAGCTCAATAATCTGAGGACCCTCTGATATGTACAAGCGTGTCTTACAACAGCAGCTATCAGACTTCAAGGTCTCGAGGCGATGTCGCACAGATTCAGCTGAGCAATCAACAATTCTTCAGGCGTAGTCAGGTGTACAAATTTTGAAGTCTAACTAAACAGGACCAGACGTCAAGAGGCCAATGGGCTCTTGATTTCGATAAGGATTGAAACACTAACATAACAGGTGTATACACAGATTCCCCGCAAAGAGATCCCACTCAAGAAATCCGCCAGCTTAGTAGTGAAAGAAACGGGCATTTCAAAACCAGGGGCATCGTCATCCCACATGTATCTCTACAAGTAACTGGCGCTTCTAAGCACTTCTGCAAAAGAGAAACTAATAGGGTCGATAATGACTAAGGAGGAGCCTGCTGCCACCAATACGTGACATGCGCATCCCCTTCTCGATGAGCTGAATTACTCACGAGCCACATCGTCGTGAACGAAAACTTGTCACAAACCATTCACTTCTCGTATTTGAGGGGCGAAGAACGAAACCCGAGCATCAGGATAGAAGATGCTTGCACCCAGCTCACAGGCGGAACTCTTCAAGCCAGGAAAATGATAATTTCTCCACAGGAACGCATGCAAAATACACCGGAACTCGCTCCCCAACGAGCTTGCATGAGCCAGGATCGACGACTCGAAGGCCAATGAAGATCACAGAATGCGAATCTGCTTCGACAAGCTCCCGAGCTCGCGCATCAATTGGCCATCCCCGCCCTCGAGGGGCCATCGAGAGAAGACGGACATGCAGCCCGCAGTGCCAAGTGGACCAACAAGACGCACCTTGGACGGAGGGAGCTCGGGAGAAACCCGGGGCTCCATGACGCCAACTCTGCTGCAGCGCAAGACTACTCGAGGTCCTCGAACTTGTAGCCAAATGACTCTGCTGCTCACACAAAGCAGCGCAGCAATTTCTATATGCATGCACATTCATCATTTTGGCCCAAATGCTCGTTGTCCTTTCTCGGGCGCTCCTCCTCCTCCTCACTCCTCACTCCTCCTCACTCCACGAACTTCTTGTCCTGGAGGTCCGCAAGCCTCATCTCTCTCTCCCGCTCGCTCGCTCTCTCTCTCTCTCTCCTCCTCCTCCGCCTGCTCCTCTCGATCTCTCTCTCCCAATTGCTCTCCACTTTCCAATTCCACTGTACCCCATGAAGATTCTCTGAGACCCGACCCGCGGGACCGGCAGCGCTGCCGCTGTCTGGGCACGAGAGCGTCCTCGGGGAACGCGACAGCCGATCAAATATCGGTCCTCGCGTCGCCCGCCGACGTGCACGACTCGCTCCCACTTTCTCGCGACGGGCGTGACGGCGGAACCACGCCCGCGCCGATACGTCGTCCGCCGACTGTCCGCGTGGCGTGGACTTGATGTCAGGGTGAAAAAACCCGATTTATACCGAAAACAATATGGGGTTAGTTAAGAAACTGATTTTTTATTAATTGTATTAGACTATTAAGTACCTAATCAAATGCAATAAAAAATATCTTCATATAAAGATTCATTATCCTCGTATTTATAATTTCTATTTCAATAATATTTACACTCAGAAACACACTAGTAACTAGTGTGTTTCTGATTAAAGACCGCAGCAGATTCCTTTAAACCCAACTTCATGCCAATAATTACGGGTTTTTTTCGAAAAATCTGTGTATACCTGCTTGATGTGTCTAGATGATGCCTATCCGCAGTGCGACCCGTACAATGCTGCTCGCGAGTCGCGACGAGAGGGTGAGAGGTCGCACGAGCGACCGTCGCAGAGCAGAGCTCTAAGGTGCCAGTTGCTTGGAGCGTGTCGAGGCTTCTGATCTCGACGGGTGTGCGTCCGTAGGCAATGCGTACCACCTGTTCCTCGCACCTCGCGACGTCTGGCAGCGCTGACGACATGCGCGTGAGAGGACTGCTCTGCGACGAATCAACGTCGCAGCGCAGTCCTTGGAGAAGGACGCTACGGTCTCAGAGGACGGGCCGTCCTGTGGATTTCTGGCCACCCGGGCCATGGGCGCTCACTTGTTGCTGACTGGTTCGAGCCTACTGGTCGGTCCTAGGGCAGGCAATGTTCCACTCCGATAGCGTCCCGTTATTCACGCCGTAATTCTCGCTGCGGTTGATTGTGCAGGCCACAGCCGTTTGAGTGCATTCTGATTGGCCTTGACGCAGGACGGGGCCTCTGTCGTAACTTTTGGCTTTTCAGTACGTCGCGGATGGTCCTAAATGGATTTCTGGCGACTGTGATTTATAACCGCAGAGAAAGATCATAGTCAACGACCTACTTCTGGGTACTGTAACATCTCATTTATAAACATGCAGCTCCGCACTTTCGGCTGATACTGTGGAAAAAAATCTACGTGACTTCTTGCATCCCCTCAACAGACAACTATATAAAGCAATGACAAGAAGTCAAAATACAAGTATATTCATGATTTGATATATAGTTAAAGCTTACTCGATAACTATATTCATTTAATTTTATGAAATGATAACATTCTTATCAGAGAAAACTGTACACGTTGATTTATAAAAGGTAAAAACGGAGTTGTAACAGTGGCATTTTAAAGCTCATGATATTTATCGACTTTTTCTTTCAAATCTAACTGTAGGTACTTGTTGTACATGAGGCTTCTATATACAATAGTAACATTATTATTTCCTGTAATCCAAGCCCAATAAATCGCAGCAAAAAAAACTGTAAATCTCAATATGCATATTCATCCTTTACAATTTGGATTGATTGTGATGACATTTTGATTTACATTAGAAACAAATGATGTTTTCTTACACCATGTGCAACATTTTTTTCACTCCATATGATTCATAAGTCATTTGGACATTGTTGAATAAATCGACCTTTAATCTATCCTATCAATAAGTGTTGTATAAGAGAAAATTAATTTTGAAATCTGATTATCAATCTCATTTTTAAGTTTAATCAAAATTTCTTTCGTTCACACAGTTTTATACACAAATCATTATTTCCTGTGCATATTACACGATAGGATGATTTCAAAGAGAATAAAATTTTGTGCTATGAATTGTATTTATACAATCTCACAACATTATATCGGAAATTTCAATTTAAATTATAAATATGAGAGAAATTCAAATCAAAACTTCATGACATAATGAACACCGTATATCACATAAAACATGACACAATGAACACCGGAACGCAAGACTAATGGTATAGAACATTGAGTAAAATAATTGGTTTTGCATGTATAAATTGTCTTATATAAATTGTATAAATTTTATAGAGTTTATGAAAGAATCAAAAAATTATTTGAGATTAAAAAATTGAAGAAAAATTCCATATTAAGAAAATTATATACAAAAAATTAATATCAAAATCAACATAAAGTCGATTAATAAATAAAATTTATTTTTACATTTTAAAATAGATAAATTATAAATTTATTTTATATAATTTTTATATCATATATAAATAATTATTTTGACATCTGTTTATTTTGTATCTTAAAATAAATATATGCATGAAAATCATCATTTTGTGCAAAAAAATTATTTTCAATGTTTGTTTGATTGATTTATTATCTGCAATAGTTTTACATGCAAGCAAAACATGTAAAATAATTATTATTCATATTGATTGAAATAAACACACATTGTATTGTTTGGCTTTGTTTCATAACTATGTTGTTAATCTAGTTTGATATTCATATTTCAATGAATATTGTGATGCTTGATTTTGTTTTAAGTTTAACTTAAAATCTGTATCATATTGCTATTTTTTGACGTTGCTACAAATTAAAAAAATTTAGATGAGTTTTTCCTAAATATATCTTTGTACGATATTTCTCATGAGCATATTTGAAAGATTTTGATGTCATATAATCTTATTTCTAATTTTATTTTTAAAAAATTCTATTGGTATGTTATCCTTACATATTTTTTATTATTTTAAACTTCTTTGCATTACAGATCAAAATTTGTCTTTTCGTTTGATTGCAAAGCATCAACAACAAGGAATATGTGTTGTAACAGGTTTTGATTTAGATTAACAAAAATTAGTAGACATAGAATTATAATCTGCTTGTTTCAATATCATCCGTCATTTGATATTTCAGCCAAAAAGAATCAATTAAAAATTTTCTTTTAAAAAATCATGTAAAATGGTGTATTTTAAAATTAAAATAAATCATATATGTCATTAGAATGAAAATATATATAATAAAAATGGAAACCTTAATTAAAATACCCGTTAAAAATTATTATTTTACAATAGAAATATGAATCTTAAATTATTTACAAAAAATGAAATGTGTTGAGATTTACTTAAAAAAAATGACTAAAGAATTAAATTTAATGACAACACAACAATTGTATGAAATCTAATATCAATTAGGTATTAATCTTTTTATTTTATCATTATCATGATTCAACAAATAAAAATTAGTTCAATTATCATGAACTAAATGTATGAAAACAAATAAATTTTTTTATTTCTATATAAACTTTATATACTGTACATTTTTATAAATAAATATATTAATGAATAATCATAATTCATTTTATAAATAAAAATGATGCTTTGCATAATAAAAAAATACATCTATTCAAAACATCTTATTTCACTATGAATGTCATAGTTTTACATACACTTATTTTGAAACCATAATTTACATAAAATTTAATTAATTTTAATAGAATTATAATGGAAATATTCATTGTGTTCAACATTTGATTCAATGTTTTCAAAATATATTTATTATAATTATATATATGAAATAATTTGTTAAAAAATATATTGATAAGATTATAATATTCAACATAAATATTATAAATAGTTTATAAAATATTTTAATCAATCATTCATTTAAAATTTAGTTAAAATCAATGATATTCATATGATATATTTATTTTGTTCATAGATATAATATAAATTCATCTATAATGTTTTGTACAACAACAATCAATTGGTCAAGAAGTAAACAAGATTTTGTGATATATTTTGTCAAATACTCGCATGTCTTCATTTATAGAAAATGCAATGATTTTTTGATGTGTAGTTGCATCGATAAGTGATGCGATTCAAATAACTTTGTCGATTCGGTCTAGGCGTCTAGTGCTATCTTATAACTAGCGATCAAGTGCTCTTGATGAGGCTTCATCTCATTATTCAACATTGCAAAGTAGATTAGGTTTTTATCATACCATTACTTCTTACTCCCAACGCCGGACGCAAGTGTGGTGGTTGTCTAACTAGATGGAGTGATCGATCAAAGCTTGGTACCTCCAATGACGCTCATCAATCTTTTGACTCCAAAGATCAAAGTTTTATGATATTTTCATGAATGTAAATGCTTCACGTTAAATTTATAGATATGATTCCATGCAACCCATATAGAAGCTTCTGGAAAATTCATCTTTCTCAAAGTGTCTGATTTGATTCATGTTCTTCATAGTGTCGCGCATAACGTTGATCCCAATTTTGGAAATTTTCAAAAAATTTCACGAATTTGTGAAATCTTGCTTGAATTTGAAGAATTTTAAAAATTTTAAAATTATTCCGGCTTATTCCGGCTACTCTGTCGCTGTGATTAGCACAAACAATTCTTTGACAAATTCGGCCCGCCTACCGTCAAGTATGGAATCTTGGAGAGGGGCTCGGGTTTGGTGCTTTGAGATGATCTTGGTATTTGGTTGCCAAAATTTGGAGCCTGCCGAGGTTTCAGGATCTCAAGAAATTGTTCTGACAGGTAGCACATAGATGTTTTGTAGCAAAAAACGTCATTCATGCTTGTCTTCATTCAAGCTTCATTGAATAAGAATAGAACTAACTTTGTACCATATTAAATAAATAGAGCAATGCAATTGTGAAAGTCTACACAAAGTCCGAGTAAGTATTCAATAAATAAAATTGTTGATAAACACAGTTTCCCGTATCGGATTTAAATACCCGATCAGAGAGTAACAAAGTATGCGTCGGACACAAAGGAATACAACTACATAGTGTATCACATTTTTAGAGTGGAACACATACCTATAGTGTGTCGCATCCACTGAACATAACAGTCATAACTAATATGATACAAACAGCACTAGATTTCAGTACTAACTATAAGGATTATAATTGCACTAGTATGTAGATATAGGAAAAAATAAGTAGTATGACAACA